ATGCATTAGCTCATGGCTCATGTTTAGATTTTTCACTGCCTGCAGTTCATGTGTGGTCAGTGAACCCCCTTGGCAACTGTCAAGGCCAAACAAGTCAACCCATTATTGGAGATGATTGGATTATCGGATATTACTTCGATCAATGTTGGGAAAATGTATTCTATAAGGCCTTGATCAATTGCATGACCCCGCTGAGATATGCTCCTGCTTCGCATCCAGGCCAATCGGAAATTCGAAACACGGTTACATCCCAAAAACATCCATGCAAATTATGTATATGAGGTTCATACTGTAGGGCCTGGCCTAGCTGGGAAGTTTTTCCCAACCAGCCAAGGTTCGAGCAATCTCCCAGGCATGTGAGACGGTGCCATACACGCCCCAAGAAACACTGCTGCCCCCCTTCTTCGTGTCCACCTGCACAGGCCCCAACGTGAGCAGTCGATTTCCTAATTACGGAAGAACATGTGACCAATATTAATTAGGTCCGGCCTTTACACTTACTTTGAAGGCTTTGTTCACTTCACCCGCAGTCTGTTCAGTGACCGAGTTGACATAGAACTGCCCAACCAGCATCACTTGAATCCCTGACGCTGAGGTCACGTGATTTGCTACGGGCTCCTCCTCCGGCAGGTAAAGAGTCCATGACCTTTGCAAAGGAGCTCGGGGTCAAATTTTCAGCTTCGAGCGGCTTCGTCAGACGAGTGCTAGCTGATCAGTACTAGCTAGGAAACCCAACATTTGCGAAACACGGGCAGCATCTGGGATGGTCATGTGCTTCAGCTCTTTCAAGTGAGATAGGCGTTGTTGCCTGAGATCCTGGCAGGAATTCACACTCGATAAAACACTAGCACTTCTAGAAGCGTTTGGTCAGGCTCCTCGGACAAGACTCGACGGGGCCGGGAGGCCTCCAACCATTGAATTTAGAAGGGGCTGTCGATGTCAACAAACCATGCATTGGTAAACCATGCAAGCTTGTGCCTTCTTTTGCTCCGTCTCAACATGTGCTGCTCCTGCATGCTCCTGTTGACATGGCAATCGATGGCTCAGAATACCAACACGAGCCAACACACCTAGCCCATAACACGTTTTGAAAGAGCTAGCAAAAAGATACACGCCCAAAAGTGCTTTTAAGGATGTACTATATTGGCCCTTCTTGGCCTATCATGGGGGACGCCAAATTCAATGCAACTCCTTGTTGTTTAGTCGGTGACATCTTTTGCGTCCACTCGATTTTGTTGAAACTACAAATGTGAGCAAGCCTCGTTGCCAGGAACATCTCCATCACGCTTTGATTCCCCGGATGCCTTGCACGCACAGACTAATTTGCCACAAGACGCACGTGGGCAACAAATATATATTGAAAAAATCACTGGACTCCTACCTGCTTCTTTTCTTGGGCACTTGGTAGGCCAGATGCCTAGCTACTATTGCCAGCAAAAACTTGCCCGTGCACGCATCCATGTATTAAAACAATCAGCCGCCTTCGTTGATTCGATGCCATCTGCAGTCTTGCGGGCCTTCACGGTGGCAATTTTCCCTTTGGTGTGGGTCATGAAATCTGGCCCCCCCCAAGTCCCACATCAACTGCCCTAAACCAATATAGGGGCCAAACAGGACTTAGGGGGCCAGATCCCATGACCCAGTCCAAGTGGAAATTTAGCACTTCACGGGGCCAATGATTGTTGTTCACAAGCCAGTGCACAATAAAAACGGTGCTGGGCGCCTTGACCGCCTTGTTGCCAGAAGGCTTGCGAGCTCGAGCAGAAGGAACAGCTTCAGGCATCTCCTGACCAAATCAGCCACAAATCACGGCAACACACTTAAAGGAAATCTTCCTTGGCCTCATTCTTTGGATCTGGGTCGTCGTGAACCTTGTGCTCCAGCTCCGACTCTCCATCCTGCCAAGATCATGGGGGAACAGATCGAGCTACACTCAATCAAATTGGAGCCACTCCTCTCCCTCAGCTTCCTTTGGACGCTTTCGGGACGCAGCGCGGCTCTCGATCTCTCCTTCCTTGTCACCTGCCTTGTTTCCTCTTCCTCGAGATCTACCTCGTCCCCGGCCTTTTCCCCTGCCTTTTCCTCTCCCTCGACCTCTAGTATTTTTCGCGTCCATGTCTTCCTGAGCCTCCTGAACCTTCACATTGATATCCTTCCGCATGTCTTCTTGCATCTCAGCCGGGCAACAAATCGAGATTCGGGAAGAACAAAGAAAGTTGGACACACATCATATGACATTTGCGTTTATCACCTTGACCTGGCCTGCAAAATAAATTTGCCGACGACTGCCATTTGCTTCTCTGACATTGAGTCCATACTAGGTTCATGCTGTTGCAGGTAGTCATTGAAGAGCTTCTCAATGTTTGGGTTCTCTGGCACCTCCGGAAAGAGTGGCTTCCGGTCCTGCATCGGAGCGGAATTCAAGATTACATATCAATTTCCCCAAGCTGTGAACCCCATGAAAGGCTTTGTTCTAATGACAGGCTTTCCAATGACAGGGTCCTTGAAAGACTTGCTTTGTTCTAAGGCATCATGACGCTCAGTCTCTTCAGTCTCCATCGCAGTCTTGTCCGGTGTGCGAGGCTCCTCCTTCGAATCCTCGTTCATCTTGACATCCCCATCGACCCTAGCAGGCACCGTTGTCCCCACACCTGCCTCCGCCTGTTCATCCATTTTGGCATTTGGATCCTCAGTCTGCAGGGGATCTAGAGGAAGGCTGTCGTCCAGCACTTCAAGTACCTGGCTGGGCTGTTCTCGGGTGTCCATCGGTGCCGGACTGTCCTCGATCTGTTGAAAAGGTGCCTGGCTGTCTTCGATCTGTCCATCATAAAGTGCCTGGCTGTCTTTGACGTCCACATGTTGGACCTGGCTCTCCTGGACGGATGCCTCCTGTTTCTTGTCACCCCGGCCAGAAGAATCTGAATCAAATTCAGCTGAGCTAGATGTATTTAAGGCTTCTGCAACTGTGACTTCATCCTGCAGGGCAGCCTTCTCGCTCTTCCGCTTTTGTCTTGACTTGAAATCTGAGCGCTGAATTTAAAGACAACGCATGTTCTCATGTTTTTTGGAAAGGAGGTCTAGGCATGCACGCCTGTTCCCCGGAGCTCTGTGCAGATGGCTTTCAGCTCCTCCATCTTGGGATCATTGGCCCTGGCCAGCCATACTTCAACTCAGTCAGAAAACATGAGATATATTAAAAGACTGCATGCGTGCATGGGCCTGGCGTGAGTGTTTCTGCGGGCCCGTAGAATCACATATCGGGCTAGCCCAAGTTGTAGCTCAGCCTCTTCCTGTGCCCAGTCCTGCCAAATAACCCAGATCAAATTTGTAGAATTAGTCACGGGTAAAAGAATTGAAGTAGAACAAATTTCGGATTCCTTAAGATCCTCATCACACTTGTTCACGACAAGTGATTGGTCAAAGTTCTTGGCCGTGCGGAAAAGCACCCCCTGCAGGATGTGTTGAACTAAAACCCTCACGACGTTTCGATCGAAAGCAGATTTAGGCCTTCACTTCGGATGTGTGGGGCATGTCACCTGCAAAGGATGCTAGAAAATCAATCAGGAAGTCGTAGTTCTTCTCAACCTTAGCGGTGGTTTGATGGCTTTCTGCGTTTGAGAAAAATGTTGGTCATGAGTTTTGCACGGTGCCCGGATTGATGGTCTTATCCACCTCCACAAAGCTGAACTTGCAAGGGGCCTAGCCAAAAGAAAGGAATCGTTTCTGAGTGGGTCCATGCAAAACTTCCCACCTTTCCAGCGCTGATTCTTTTGGCTACTTTTGACTTGGGGACCGAGTACTTCACAGCCAAGGCGTAGAACCTATCCGTGCGGTACTCTTCATTCCTGACCTTCTCATCGTAGAAAGCCTGACAGGTCTAGAATTAAATTAGATCGAACTCAGCCAATTCCCTCACGGGTCTAAAAACCGAGTCCAGAAGCTGCAATCACGTCGCCTCCAGGAGAGCTATGCGGTTTGTCGCCATCAACACTCGCTTGTCGTGTCGAGAGAAACAGAGCGCGATCACACTTGAGCCCCAGACTTGGTTGACCCAGAACTTTGAATGGACTTGATAGAAAGCGGCAAGCAAACTGACTCATATGCATATATTGAGCATGCAGGGGGGCACCTCCACAAACTGCTGTTCGAGTTCGCCCTGGGCAATAGCGGAGATAGGGTGACATGAGCTCAAAGACCTGATTCATGAATGAAAATTAAGATGCTGGCTTCGGGAAAAGCATCTTCCAGACATGGCTGGATCAGCCGCTCATGACCCCTAACTTGTTCAAATTGCAATCATTGCCTGCTAGAAACCATTTCGTGGTGACAAATCTAGATTGCAAACTCTCAAATTCTTTGCATTGTTCATGACTTAGAGCAAAATGTCAGCTCCATGGAAAGGCGGGCATGAGGCCTTTGATCATAAGGTGCGTTGGTTCTGTCACGAAGTCCTTTGGTTGCAAACTTAAGTGCTTTGACAAAGCACTCAAAAACCAAGTGCGTTCGAAGTTCTGGGCATGAGTTTTGCTTTTTTGTAATTTTATTGATTCACATTAATTCACATTGTTTCAATGAACATCGATTAAAGCTGCTTAGTGTGGGTTGGAAGAACACTGGAAGTTCATGGAATAAAAAACTCCACGAGCAATCATGTTTCGTATGAGTTGTTCTGTTGTGTCCTGAGTTTCAATGCTCTCCAAATCGAGCATCGTTCGCCAGTGCACAGAAGTGCCGAAGAACTCAGCCAACAATCCCACATAGCGTCTTCCTGGTGGTCTCATTGCCACTATAGTCCGGCTTTCAGGTGTGAAATATGGGCAAACATGTTCAATACATTGGGATATCCCTCCACTCAGGAACACCATTTTGGGCGCTCACTACGGTACTCGTACGACGTCTATGGACTGTCACAGTCTGTGAGGACAACCTATTGAAGACAGTTATGTAGATATGTTTGTGTGCTTCGTTTCTGACAGCCAAAACCCTTGCAGCTCATCAAGGTTTGGGCTGCATTTGCGCAGAGCTCTTCCTGGGATTGCCCGTGTTTCCCGGACATTCCGAGTATGACCAGGCAGGGCTCCGGAATTGTTCCTGCTGAACCCAAACAACTGACCCCCCTCCAGCTATATCACTGGTGCTATATGGGTCCCGGTTGCCATGGGCTTTGTTGCCCCAGACGCCTTCTTTGCGCCACCTGCCTTGGGCGGGGATCGAGTCACGAGACGCTCGCATGCTTCGAGTCACGAGACAAATAGGAAGACCCCGAAGGCAAGTGGAGTTGCATGAGAAAGGGTGAAGCGTGAAGCGTGAATTTGTTGAGCACTGGGACCACTGGGAGATGGACCATACCGTACAAAGCCATCCATTGCCTAAAATACACAGATCTGATCTGAGATTATTGTAAGGGCTCAGAAGGCTGATTCCAAGGGCTGCCCTGTTGACCGGGGTCTGGAATCTGGCACTTGGGATCTTCGACGGGATCTCACGACATGAAGGATGAATCCAACCGGAGGTTTTCTGCCCCCCCCCCGTCCACGGATTTCTATAGGTACTGAACACCCGAAGAAGCATGTGAAAAGTGTTGGAGGGTCCTGGGGGTCCCAGGGGTCCCTGGGGTACTAAAACTACCTGGTTAAAGTCAACTGACCCCTTGGCTTCCAACAACCATTGTTTTGATGGTCTTTACCGAACCACCATTGTTTTACTAAGGATTTTGCACTACAACCAGGTCCTTTCTTTGAATGGTCTTGGAGGCCTAGGGTGACTAGGACGTCCAAGGCTGGTTGGACAGATGGCTGATGACACGCAACCTGTCTCTCTTGACCTTGACCTGTTTGTGAGGCATCATCCGACCTGCACCAGCCACGTACAGTGGGATGTGGTCTCCTTCTGTAAGATAGCATCTTGCTGAGCATGGTGCAGATTGTGCATATAAAGAGTCCGACAGTCCGACACATTGGCTGGTATACAAGTCCCTTTTAGCCACCACCGGCTAGACTGATCTATGTCCCGACTCGGTCTTAGACCGGGGTCGGTCTCCCTATTTTTGAGTCACACATAGACACACCCAAGTCCATGGGGGTGCTCAAAATACCCGTACCGGTGGCGTTTCTGGAGAGGTCCGCCGCATGGTGGAGGCGCACGTCGGCGCACGTGGGCGTGGGTGGGAAGCCTAATTGGTTGCAAATAGGACACTGCCGATGGAGATCGGTAGGTTCCCACTACCACGAGTCTGTCTTTACTGTACTGGGTTCTTCGCAGTTTCTACAGTGCTCAAAGAAGTGTTGGTCAATGACAAGAAGGGGGTAGCTGAGCAACTAGAAGATAAACTACCAGCACCACCCAAACGATAGATGATTGGATGGTAAATTCATGTAAAACACATGGTGGGCAGGTCTTTCACTGTCCTTCTTTTTGTGGTGCTGGTAGAAGAGCCAGCCGGCAACCTGGTTTGGCGGTGTGAGCCACGAACTGGAAGTAAGAGACATGTGCAAAATCAGCCAAGTCGTATTTCACAGGTAGTTCTTCTGCATTCCCCAGAGGCTACTGCTCGGAATGTGGATCCAGATGCAGTGCCATGCATGTCATGTCCAAATTTGCTTTGCACACCCTGTGGCGGCCAAACGCGCCCAGCACACAGTGCTGAGGGATCCTGGGTGTGGCGATTGTACATGTCCACCAACAGAACTCACTACACGTGTGGGGGGAACATGGGAACCTCATTGACCTCACGTGGTCATGTGGGGAACAAGTGATTTTCATTGTCACCTACCGGGATCCAGTGCAGCTTTGCCAAAGATCAGACGAGCAACATCCAGCAACCATGACAAAATGCTGTTGATTTCCCAGTGATTCTCATGTCTTAGGAGCTTCTTCCATTCAGACTGCATTTCCAGAGCTGGAGTGATCTTCAGGTGCTTGGCATGCCGCCCAGCACCTTGCTGGACGCGGGCCGTAATACCAAGCGATACTTCCGCAAGGAGTGCTGAGCTGGGTTCAGGTGGATGAGTTTCGAGGGTATCATCGTAGACCTGGAAGCTCTGAGTTCAAGGTCTTCAACCAAGGAACCAGTCTTGTAGAGTCTAACTGCCCAGGACACCGTGATCCCCCTCGACCTAAGTACCAGTCGAACCCTAAACACTGAACCCTCTCACTTGTTCTAAGGGTGAAAGGGGTCTTTGATGTGATATCTGAGACAATTGTCTGAGACAATCCAGATATGTCTTTGATATCCTGAAAAGGACAAATCTGGACAACTCCTATGACTCCATCAGGCGTCCACTACCTTCGTGTCCCTAGCAGTGTCTCCACTGCTTCGGTGGGACGGTTCCGGGGACGGCTCCGTTGGTTTGAGGCGGGACTGGCATCACGTTAAGCTACGTCTGAAGGGCCCATGATCAGGTCTATTGTTTGGCTGTGGCTTGGTTTGGTCTGACCCCTACTATCGCCCCCTCTATTTTAGAGGGTATACCGGTATACCTCCTTGATAGTCCATGCCTCTTCATTCTTGCGGATCAACCCAAATAGCCAGGTGCCATGACCCACAGCCAGAATATGACAGTCCCACGTCCGAAGGACGGGTTTTTTCATCCTTGATCCCCCCGATCGACGCGTCACCGTTCCTTGCGGCGACTGGCCTGTGTTGCATGGCCATTTGGGGGTGCCTCCTCCAAGTGCTCGGAGCATCTTCCGTCCCAAAGTCGCTCCGCTGCAGGAGGAGTTGAAGCCCAACGAGCCGGGCGCGGAGGGTGCGCACCGGAACCGAGTTTCGAGGGGGAGGGAGGGAGTAACAGGTGTGAGGGAGTCAGGTGGTGTCAGTCACCCACCGAAGCTCGGGCCGCGTGCTCCGCGTGTGTTTGGTTCGGACCTCGAAACAGCGTCGAAGAAACACGCAGCGGTCTTCTGAAACATGGAAGCTATAGTGGATGGTGGATGGCCGATTTCGGCAGACCAGGAAATCCGAAGACCAAACAGGTGGTTAAACTCACTCCATGGTAACCACATGAGTTCGAGTTGGGGTAGCCGCCTCTAAGCTTAATATATATGGGCCCTGCTCCAATCATTGGAGTGTTCAAAAGGACTCCTGGTCCAAAGTGTTTGGCTTTTCTCTCTCTCAAATTCTCTTAAAGGGTCATTAACGGAATTCAGGGAGCAACTGATAACCATCGTCATCGATGTGATGACTTGCTGTATATAGACATCCAGGAGTTCCAGGAAATCCGGTCACCTTTGTGTGGACCTGAGTGGGACACCCCACTCAATCGGGAACACGTGCATGGAGCTTCTTCAGTTCACCGCCTCCTGTGCCAGACATCCGAAACGTCGTCCGCGACGGGGCAGGTCCTTCCACAAGTAGTGCCGATGGGGAGCAGGACAGGCAAGACCGATGCTGCTAGGTGGCGTGCCCTGGAAGACTGGCCCTGTGAGGAACAAGCGTTGCCTTTCATTATACATATCACGATGCAGACGTAGGTTGCCTGATTAATTCCATGAACGCACTGGCCACCCAAACAAAGAGCATGTCTTTTGTGCGAAACCTCTTTTTGTGTTCCAATCCACAAAAGAGGAGTCTTTTGAGGGGATTGGACATGTTGAAAAGAACAACTCGGTTGAATCGGTGCTTGCAAGATCTAGATTCAGCGCAGTTTCAGTTAAAACATGATCGTCTTGCTCTCGGATGGAATTTCCGTATGAAAGGCGTCAGCTGGGTCGTGGTCAGAGTAGTGCCTGGCCCGACCAGTCTGGCCCGACCGCTGCCCGATCAAGCCTCCGGCCATCCGGGGCCGAATATTGAATCCAAGAAGGAGAAGAGGTACAAGAATACTTAAGAAGAAGAAGAAAAAATACAAGAAAACATCCAAGAAGAAGAAGGAGAAAGCGAAGCAGTCGCAGAAGATACAAAGTCGAAGCAGCAGCAGCAGCAGCAGCAAAAGAATAATTAGAATAGTAAAAATAAGAAGGAGAAGAAACAGAAGAAGACGAAGAAGAGGAAGAAGAAGAAGAAGCAGAAGCAGAAGAAGAAGAAGAAGAAACAGCCGCACAAAAACAATAACAGCAGCAGCAGAAGAATAAGCAGCGGAGTCATAAGCAGAAGAAGCAGCAGAAACTAGACGACAGATGACGATAGGGTGGCCCGAAAGAAAGCACAGCAGGTGAGGAAATAATGTCATGAGGAGGATGAATGTGATGAGTAGGGGAGTGAACATACATCAAAATACTGCACTGAGAATCTGAGAATCTCGCGCTGGTTTTTCCCCTCAGTTCGCATACTACACATGCGAGGGGTAAATGATCATCGCTGCTACTGCTTGAAAGATCGCTACGCTGCCGCCGCTGCTGCTGTCTCTGTCCACGTAGACTTGAGTCGTGATATGTAATGATCATTGCTGCTTGAACGCCGTGGATGTATAACTATATGTATAACTGTAATCGTTATTGCGTCACCGTGGTCGCGCTAGTGTTCTGCAGGATAGAAGCTGAATTTCCATGTGCCTTGATGGTGCAAAAAGCGAAGATTATCTTTCGGATAGACATTGTTTGCGTTCATGGTAGCAAAAGCTTCCAGAACATCGTCCCCAAGGTCACGATGTGCAATCTTGCCTACAAAACAAAATTCAGCATAGCTTCTTGTTGAACTTGTTCCACACGCACCAGACGGCGAAGCCCTTAAATCGACAGGCTTTATGGGCATGGAGGGTGACTGAGGGCCAAACTCGTCACGAGACACATTTGCAGTGGACCTCACGATTGAGTAAATCAACGCATCCTTTCCCGCAGGCAAGCATCAAAGATTCCAAGCACACACAGTACATCCGATGCATCTGCACGCTCCAGACATTTCCTGTTCGCGCTGGGTGCAGCCGCAAATGCAGCAGAGCGATGTTAACTACCTGAGATATGGGACAACCACTGCCAGCGCAATGCATGCATTGAGTTTGCCACGCAATGCGCACAAAACCATGCCATTCGAGTTTGCTAGCGAAGACACTCGTGGAGGGGTGTAGTTTACAAAACTAATATATTGCAGAATTGTAGCTGGCATCAGCCAGCTACCCCCGACGTGGAAAATGTTTTCCCAATAAATTCTACTTCACTGAAGCTTGATCATGTGTCAGTACACTGTGACTTACCGCGCAGCGATCCTTCATTGCCAGTCTATAGAGACCTCGGCAACATAGAGATGCTACACATTTCATCACATTTCGAAAGAATATACTCAAAGGGTAAATTTACACAGATTCATGTGAAATATTCTACATCTAGACCTGCAACGCAAAGTAGCACAAAGACCCGCCACGAAGCAACCACTCACCGTAGAGTGTGTTTCTGTTAAGGATTCAATGCTTGCAATGACAGTTCAGTCTGACTACTAGCTATCTAGTAAATCTAGTAGTAAACGGTACACGCAAGTTTTTCTACATTTGCAGCCGTCGCTTCTGATGCAGAATGCAAACTGTTTTTTCATCCCTGTCATCCTGTTTCAGCACATGGATCGATTACACTGCACCCACATGCAAACTCGTCTTGCTCTTCCTTTTCCCCGTCTCCAGCAACCACCATAGAAGCTATGGGATTATGGGCGGATGCGGTTTGTGAGGTTCCGGCCACGGCCATCCGGCCACAGCCAGCAGGGTGACCAACGAACTCGTGCTTTGCCAGTGTTTGTTTGCTGGGCAGCCTTTCCCCGCACTGGTGGAAGCGGGTGCTTCCGCTCCGCTGCCGCAGGAGCCGCAGGAGCCGCAGGAGCTGGACGCCAATGCGCAGGAGGCGCCGCAAGAGGTGCACTCGGCTTCAAGCTCAGGCCGGGGACGTGGCAGTTTTTTGGGACCTCAACTCCAGTCTGGGTGATGCCAAAAAGAAGCCCGGTGTTCGGCTTTTCCAAGAGGTAGCAAAAGAAACAGTGGAAGAACGTGGTAGAGGAAGATGGAAACACAAACTGTAAAGATTGAAATTAAACATCTCTGAAACCGCCAGCCAAATCAGAGATGTTTAATTTCAATCTTTACATTGGGATGATTGAGCCCGCTGACTCGGACTTTTCAAGTGGAACCACCTATCAAGGACCCTCAAAGGTCAAGGTTTCGAGGGTCCAAACCAATGCGCAGGGTCAAAATCCACAGGCAAAATTGTTTTGACAGAAAGAAACAACAGGGATCAAACACGAACACATGTTATATGCAGGAAGTACGTGGATGATCTGCAGGCCACCTGCTTGAACATTTGGGAAAAACCTCACGTTTCACATGAAACAGGAGGAGAATGGTGGAGAGTTCGGTCTAAATCTATATTTTCCAGGAATCGAAACAGCTGGGGGCCAGCATTACTTTAAAAAACAAGGGAAACAATTCTAGGTGTTCTATCTTAAGCGAGTTTCGATTTTTTTTCCAGGGAGCAAAGGGACTCCCCCGATCGAAACTCATTCCTGAACTTCATGGTGTTTAGCAAAGACGCTACGAATGGGGTTCCTGGCATCGCTACTAGGAACAAGAAGCTACTAGGGCCGGGCTCCTGGCCGTACTACTAGGAACAAGAAGCTTGTTCACGGTCCGAGGATCCTCCTCTTCTCGTTTCCAGCGCTTCCACCGCCGGTCTTCGCCCGCCTGTCGAGGCCCTGAAGACGGTCGCGCCTCCGCGGAGAGGGAACGACCTGCGGCTGGGACGAGGAGAGGGAATCGACGAGGAAAAGGGACGACACGATGGGGCGCTCCTCTCAGGAAAGACTGCTGATCCGTTCACCAAGGATAGTCTAAGTCTAAGTGAATTCTTACAGTATATGGAAATGTCGAAGAGTGTTTCGACCCCATTTTTTTTTAATGTTTAAGAATCTTGAATCTTTTTGGGAAAGTAGACTGCCTCAAAAAAGGATCTATCAAAACCCGAGTTGGCTGACTCCCCCTCGAATACTCTGAGATACAGGGGACCTAGATGGTGCTCCCTACCCCATAATTTGGACGCGTCAGAGTGAAGTGTCGTGGATCCAAAACCAAACAATATGTCCGATATTGGCTTCATTGCAGGGGATGGTTGCTTTTTGTTGTAGATGCATGCTGGGGGGTAAATGACCAGATCGTGCCTTTTGTCCTGTTTCCGCGAAACACATCCATATAGTCCATATGTCATCCACTTCACCAGGATGAATTAAATGCCAATTGTGTCGTCTATTTGGACCTGTTATGTGGCTTTTCTGGCTCAAGACCTCACCCTACAAACCATGCTTTCGGTTGACCATGCTGTTGAAATCCGTTCATTTCCATGCGGGGTCTGTCCAACGCCGTCCCAGTTCTGACCCAAAGACACAGCATAGATGTTTCTTTGGTGGATCAACAAACCATCCTTGTTGATCCAATACAAACATCGCGGATGCAAAGGACACAAAACGAAACACATGCCTTCTTCTCCGAACACCGAAGGGACCACCGCTCAGGGCTGACCATCTTCGTTCACCCCGACCTCGCCCGGACGCCGCTCACCGAGCCACCGAGACCCGAGGTCCAAGCAGAGGTCACCGGTGCCGAGCACGTGTCCGAGGAGGAGCGGTCGTAGGGAGTGGAGCTCTCGCGAGCTCCAACCTCACCACCGGTGCGAAGCCGGTGTTGGCCAGTGGAAGAGGTGGGAGGAGTTGGATGGATCCCTGTGTGAATTTCCTCTAAAATAGAAGATGTTCAAAAGGTCTTTGGATAGATAAAGGTGGGAATTTGGATAGAATGTTCAGATGGTGACGGTGACGGTGAACAGTTGCTTTGAGATGGTACATATTAAGTCCTGTGTGAACTGTATGGTGATTCCTTTGGACCACCTCCTTCCCCAAGGAAAGGGGTGCCCGGGGAGCATAGGATAGGATCCCATGGCCTCCAAAATACCAACAACGTGGACCAGGCCGCAAACACGATGTCACAAGCAAGCCCCCACCGAGTGGTGTATGGACTCCCCTCCTCATGCGGCGTATACCATTCAAAAACCACCCGAACTGGGTGGTGCTGGAATAAACCCATAGAAATACAAGACAAAAGAGAGTCAGCTGGATGGTCGCTCAAGATGCCAGTCGAGGCCCAAGACTGTAAACCTTCAGATGTGTTCGGATCCTCACTTGCAGGAGGATCCTCGTGTCTACGTGGTGACGGGTGCCGGTGGTGTGGGCAGCTCCTGCAACGGTGAATACCGCCGGGTGGGGGAGCACAACCAGAAGCCGCTGTCACTCGGCTGGTCAGAGCGTTTTTGGAGGGATGGGCATGAATGGATGTTTCGAAACGATCCCCGAATGCATCATAATGCATCCGGAGGTCTCCCCTTATGTGAAGAAACTAGTAATATGAATGGAACATAATGGAACTGGATGTCAGATGGCTGAGTTCTTTCTCCCATCATCTCCAAGGTATTTTTCGGAGAGGAGAATTTGCCAAACTCCAGTCACTACGTCTCACAAGTTTCCTCATTTAGGGTCTTAGAGTCTTAGATGTGTGTTCGTCAGAGTGTTCGAGTTCTTCTGTTTTCTCAGAGCCAGTGCCCAGGTGAGTGCTCAGCTCTGAAATCAATCACACAGCACCGCAGGCCTCCTACAGTTGTTCAGGCCGCCCACCATGACCCCAACTGTTCCAGAAATCACCAAGTACGACTGTCCAGGCAATGGAACCTTCATACTGCACCTGATTACCAAGATACCATACTGCATGAGACTACGTAGACGCCCATCGACTATCGAGTTGTTTTTTTGTTTTTGACTTCTTAACTGTGATCTTCATATGTTGTGTTGTTACTTAAGCCCCACATGTTGACGTCCCAGCCGAGGTACAAGAAGACCAATGGTGATGCCATCATCTTCTTCAATCTTAGGCGACGATTCATCCAGTCGATGGGATCCGATGCGCGACCGACTGAAACGCGTGAGGTGTTGATTGTCTTCCCTGGTTTTTGGGTGAATGCAATGATGCATAGGGGAAATATGTTGCATGATGTTGCTATGTGTTGTAATTGTTTTTGTCCTTCCAACTCCGAACAATTAAATGCAAGCAGCTTGTCGGTTCTTTCGTGAGGAAGGGCAGGGAGCGGAATAAATAGTTGATTGATGTTCACTGTTGCACAGATTGACAAAATCCTGCAACATTGTTTTCGCTCGAAAGGTTGTTGGTGGATGTACTCCATGTATTTTTGTTCGCTCTTCACTATGAATGAGGATCCACTTCCGGGACAAAGCAGGGCGGCATGGCGTCAGTCAGAAGTTGATAGCAGATGTTGTTTGGGAGATGTGTTGATTTCTCAGTAATTCTAATAGTATATAGTGGTACACAGTTGGAAAAGCACCTATAGGACCCTTGTAGCGGAAAAAACAAAACGATGGGTCCAAACCTCGGCCATGCGGCCATGCCATCCACTTGACTTCCGTCGACGGAGATCCAGGAGGAGTGTAGAACAGCTACTGAGACCCAGGACGATGCTCCGTTCGGTCCCAGGGACCGCCACCGAAAGGCGTCCGTCCACGAAGGTCTGAGAACGTTCAGAACAGAACGGTGTACGGTTCGAGGTATCTCCTGGGTTGGAGCATATATTCCCATGGAAGTGGGATGATGGATGTCAATGGATGTGTGTGTTTTTTTCCTGAACATAGGGTTTAGGGGGGCAATCGATCTCGATCTCAAGATGTCTTCAGGATTCTTCAGGTAACAGGTAAGATAGGATGCACTCCTACAAAAAGATCCGGTGCCCGAGCCATTTCGTTCGCTCTCAGCCATGTCTTTCTTTCGGTACAGACGACGTCACCTTCTTCTAGAGTCTCTGATTGCCTGTGAGTGGACGTGAAAAGTGGATCTCCTGTGGGGAAAACCAAACTTTTTGGGATGGGGGAGGAGTCCCCAACAAATCTGAGGTGGAACAAGTTCGCTAGCAGGCTTTCTTAGGAGACCATCGAAACGGCGGCTTTGGCGTCAGTCCTCTATAGGCACTGGGATGAGACCTGGTGTGAAAACATCCGAAAAAGCATGCAAGCCTTCGTGGCAATGCAGAGATTTGGAGTTCTGAGTGGATCACTCAGCTAATTACTTGATGTAGACTGTAGACTCTTGATTAATAAATGTACCCAACAAAGAGGTTGTTCAATTCAAACCAAAGTTGTATATCATGAGTCAAAAGAGTCTACTTATTTCGGTAACGTTTGCGCACGAACAAATCATTCGTTAGTTACAAAGTCGGATGACGCGTGCTTTGTGACGGTTTTGGTTTTGGGGAAGACACGTGCTGACCTGATCTAAAAACGATGGGCAGGTGGAAGATGAATTCTATCCATGACACGCGTGGGTGGCTTGGCTGCGTTTTGCAGTCTGGCAGTCTTCCTGGTCGCCTTACAGCGTGTTGCAGTTGGCTGTTCAATATCACGCAAACCAGGTGGCTCCTTCTTTCACATCGGCCGGTGAGAGAATTTGTGTCACTGTGTGTCACCATGTTTCACCACTGCAACCAATGCTGACACCACAATTGATCCCAGAAAAGCATGAACCAACGACCGTCCGAAGGCATCGTTTGGTTTATCGCTATCTTTTTAGCCCTCGATGCTTCCAAAGGCCTCGATCCGAAGTGAAGAAGGTTGCCTCCCAAAGGTCAGATGGCTCCCAAAGGTCAGATGGCTAGGTCAGATGACTCCCAGTATGACTCCCAAAGGTCAGATTTTCATAGACATTGGGTTTGAAGAAGACGCCATGACAGATGACCTGTCCAGCCATATATACTAATAGACCTTATGTTAGGTCTTATGATCCTGTTGCGTCCTGTTGCGTGTTGTCATCCGTTCGGTTCATTGCTGGTGGTTTCCAAAGTTTTTGCTACCCCAGGACGCAGGCCCACCTTGTTGTGTGAGACCTCTCCCACCAGGTGGTACTATATGGCGCCCGATGTCTCGTCAGCTACTCCACCTGAAGGCGCTGGAAGCGCATGCTGGAAGCCCTGCGTGGGCCACTGGAGTCGGGGAATAGCGGCCATGAAGCTGCCTATCAAACATGTGTGACTCTCACTTGTTGAATGGATGTTTCAAGGTCCATCATGTTTTGTGGCCCTTGAAACCACTGCTTCCCGCAAGTGGACCCTGGTTTTTCAGGGCGGGGCGCTTGTTTTGCAGGGGCCTGGCGGGTGGCCGCGGCCCTCATCCAAAGCAAGTCCAGACGCCGGTGTGCAGCTGCTCCGAAGCGGACGCCGGGTATGGCAAAGCAACGAGTTCACGGTGAGTAGCCTTGTGCTGCCTTGTACTGTACAGAGAAGCCTTCGAGTTCCATCTGGTTACCCCCTTCGCTTTTCCCACAGCCGCCCGCCCAAACAACGTCCGAGCCCCGCCCAAGCACTTGCTTTCGAGGATTTTTGGTGAAGCGAATTGAATGCTAGTGACCTCTGGCCGTCCTGGATATCAATGAGTTCGCTACGTTTCTTGCATCGGAATGGTCTTCGCCACCTTGGCCGACGACCCACCTCGGCCGCGAACCCCACTCCGGCCAGGGCCATGGACCACAGAGCAATACGACCAGGACGATGCCGATCCCGCGCCCGTGGTCTCCACCCTGAAGATCGAGGCGGAGGGAGGGATGTGGAGGAACTGCTAGGGCTCCTAGTTTATATCCTCAGGTGACCGGTGGTTAGGCCCACCCCCAGTAGCACCCACCCCATGTCCCACCTAAAAGGAGGTAGCACAGCCAGGAGCCCTATAGGGAATGGTTGATCGGTGCCGCGGAAGATTTCAAAGAAAAGAAATGTATACCAGCAGTCACAAAGGGGTGGTATTTAGTCCCTAAGTGAGTGGATAATGGGCACCCCCAACCTCTATTAAGCACCCCTTTGTGACTGCTGGTGTATGAGGAAAGAACATTGGATGGTGGAGCCCTCAAACTGCTATTCTGCAAGGTTTTCGGTATATGTTAAGAGGTTACGTCCCAGAGGGTTTGGAGGAGAGGGAAGGATCGTGCTGGGGATATGTGTTTTAAGATGTTTTAACATTGAAGATGTTTTGATGTTTTAAGTATTTTCATGTAGGTTTTCACATGTCTTCACCAAGGACCAAGCCAAACACCGAGAATTGCATCTGGAGCATCATAATTATGTGTTGACCACATCTAAAGGCAGGGCGTGGAGAGCGTTCCTTCTGTGCCGCTTTTTTCTTTCAGCTTCCGGAGCCAGTTGAGCACGTAGCACATAGGGTCGAGCCAGGAGCTAACAAGTAGCCCTAGTATAGCTTCGTTTCGGTTCGCTGAGACTGAGGTGAGTGCCAGAACAGTCCGTCAATACCTTTTGAGGACTACTGAGCCAAGAAGGGTTGTGACAGACGAGGTACAGCTATCAGCCGTACATGTCATGACCACAGAAGAATCTTCAAACCTGTCCTTCCTGCTATGATCCTTTCGTGGATCGTCGATCTTGGAGAAGGAGTTCATTCAAGTGACTTGAATGATGTCCCAAGATCCCAAGTCAACGAATAGATCTTTGGTAGGGACGGTCTCGGACATAGGGTTGAAGTGTCCGTCCCCATGTCCCTACCTTCTGATCAAGGCTGTTTCCAACTTTGACCGTCCCACTATAGGGGTGCATCAACACCCCTCAGCCTCTTAACCCAAAGGCTTCTTGAACCCTTCCTAGCTAGAGTTTTGACCCCCTACAACCAGGGATTTGGAACGAACCAACATATATACAGCAGTTGCTGTAATTCCCTGAGCCCAAGGGACACAAAACTGGGGCTTAGAACACGGACAATTACATGGATAGGTCTGCCCGGCCTCGGGTTCATCAGGCCAAGAGCAGCTTCCTGGATTTGCTGAAGCATCGGCTAGGCGCAGAAGAACCGGTGTTGGTCGGATATGATTCGATCTAATAATTTTACTATGTGTGAGTATACGGATCATCGTGGATTATTCGTTGGAGTGATAATTTGTTGTTGTTTTCAGCCAAAGATCTTTCATATCCCAGACACGACTAATGGGACTGGTATATTTACCGCCCCATTGGGGTGGTTGGGGGTCAATGTAGGCATATATAGCATACATGGAGTGTCTGGGTATATGGTGAACAGAACCTATGGACGCTCCTGCACGCCCCGAGCCGGAATGAGCCGGGATGAGCCTCCCGCAGCACGTGGACGATCGAAGTCGCTCGATCGAAGTGGTTCAGATCTCGGCTCCGTCATGATCCCTCCCCAGTGGTTTCCATCTCCGACGACGTCTCGACTGGATGGACGTCCGGGTATACCCGACTCAAGCATTCCAACCCAGCAAATCCATAGCAAATCCTATGGCCAAGAGGCATTTAGATTGTTATATAGGTGGTGGAGTAGTTGGTGGGGTGGAACTGGAGATTCTTACCTTTCCAAGTCAAGTGCATCAGCGAGCTGATGCATCAGCGCGCATTCCTTGAACCACATTTTCCAGGAAACATGCCCAGGTGCTTGGAAGTACGTGAATCACCTGCAGATCAGCTTTCTTTAGGAGGCAAAAAGTGGGACAACTGTTGAAACTTTCGAACAGGTGGAGTTCAAGGATCGGTCGAAGTTTGGCCAGTGCTGTGTAGACTATGGTAGACTATCGATGGTAGACTGATGTAGACCTCCCAATGTCCGTGGACCTGGGAAGACTATGTAGACTTCTGCTCGTTCTCATCCGTGCGACTCGGGAGGCATCCACGCGGATGATGCTGAGGAAAAGAGCTTCAAAGTACAGGACGGGTCCGGGCTCGGTGTCTCTGGGACCCCTCGCGGCAAGGACTGTTCTCCTCGGTGTTATGACCTGCCAGGACTTGCAAGCTGATGAAAGACAGGGTAGTTGTGGACTGTTGACATACTGATTTGGAGTTTCTAAGTCAAGTCGTGACCCTTTGACAGGCCTTTTGCTGGCCTTTTTGCTGGATTGAATAAGGGTGGGTCAAGCGGGTCAAGCAGCTTATCACTCAATGGGGGTCTTCGAGATTCCTTCTGAAGTTGCCTTGGAGGGTCTTCAAGTAGAGAAGGACTCCACTTCGTTGGACCGCCTGAAGTCGTCGAACCCACCATATGGACCGGAACAGAATACCCCTCGAATCCACCATATCCCGTCCACCGTGCGTCGCGTCGCAGGACGCCAAGGTCGAAGAGCACCCGTTGGATGCGTCGACCTCGGCCTCCACGGCCTTGGATACCGATGGCACCGCCAGTGGCGGCCCGGGCGCCCCAGTGGCCCCGCGGCCATCGGCCAGACTCGGCCAGACTCGGCCAGACCGGGCGGCTTGGGGGCAGGAGGGGTGATACAGTGCAGGAGTGTGTGGCTCTTAGACGGTGCTTATATGAACCTGGGCCCTCCAGTTCGTAACCCTAGAACATGGAACATGACCCTATAAAGATTAGTACCAGACTCCAGACTCACGATGATTTTAGGAGATACGAATCAAGGGTCCAGGAAGCCGTATGTTCCTCCACAAGTCCAGGCAGATGTACCTCCTTTGGGCCTCGTCCTCGGGCGTCCCAGTCCGATTGAGACAGCCCCATGCCTGCAGCCGCTGGTTCGGTTTTGTGTCGCTTGTTGTGGTCGCGTCGGATAGAAGCAGTGCTTCATGTTGAACTCGACTCTTCAATCTCTCAAGGGTGAGGAGTTTGATCTAACAACTGCCAGGGAAAAGAGACCAATGAACCTGAAACTAAAGATGATGGAAAACCATATAGGATATTATAGGATAAACATGGATAAACTATCATCCAATACATACACTTGGGAAGCTCTCTGTTTTTTTGGTTTTTGAGGTATTTTGAGGTCAACCCGGCCCCACACACGTGAAAAGGTGAAAGGTCAACCCGGTCCATTCGATCTGTCAGCTGCAGCATCCACCAGTGGTGTTGTAGAATATCTTTGATGTCCATGACAGACAGCTAGTGGTGACATAGTCAGATATGTTTGGATCTTCCAAAGGTCCCAATTTCCTTCTGCCCAATGGCTCCCGGTGGTGTTGGAACTGTCATATCAAGGACTCAACGAGAAATCCAAGACGCACCCGACGGCTCCTCCGTGTGCGACACGGCGAGTCCCAGCAGATGTCTCTAGGAGGACCCCGTCGTGATGACAGCGATGCAACTGGCAGCCGCACAGGCGTGCGCGCGGCATGGCTGGTTGGGGCGAGAAGGTTTTGGTGTTTGGGTGGTGGTGGGTGGAGGCCAGGGCGGCCAGGCGGCTTGGGCGAACTGGACTTCGCCCACCATGGAGTTGAAATGATGTGAATTCCAAGCTTTTTACCACACAACCATTGCTTTACTGGGATTTTGGACAACAAAACCAGGTCGTTCACGAACTGATTGGTCGTTCCCGAGAGACACATGTTTGGAGAGTCGATTCCAAGGGAGATGATGGGAGATGAAGCCTGTTCTACCCAGGAGTGAGTTTAAAGTGGATCGCCTGGGAAACAACACTGGTGGAAAGTTTGGTTAACCTTTGTGTTCAAGGGACACTGAGGGACTCAGCTGTGTTTCATAGTAGACTAGGATGGTCCAAATAGATGAACATGGGATGACACGGTAATGACACGGAAGACTTTTGCCTTGATGCTCTTTTTAGGAGAGGCAAGTAAGCTCGTCATTCTGACATATTCAAACATTTGATATTTGGGTCTTCCACCACCTCAACTACCCTATATGGAGATGCTTGCTGCAAGCCATTGCATAGAACATCATCGAATAATTAACAATGAAACCTTGGTGTCCGGCTTCCTGGATTTTGTTCATCAAATTAAGGTACAGATCTATATTTTTTTTCAAGACAAGCAAACATGACGAATCGATGTGATTGAGGCCTCCCTTGCAACACCATAGCAGTATATCATGCACCACCGGACTTTCCAATTAGCTCTTGTTTAAAGGCACATATGAATATGCGTATTTGGGTGGAAGTAGCCCCAAACATGTGAGCATGGCTCATGATTGTGGCCTGGCTCAGCGTTTGCAAGCCCTTAACGACTTGTAGACCTTGAGGAGTGACAAGAAAGAAAGCTTTGACCATTTCTCGCTTCCACCTGTTTCTGCATTTGGGGCTGTAATCCGTTGACTTCACCGGCCTAATCGACCCGTGCCCGCGGATCTGACTGGGACTGGCCGGATCCGACCCGGGGCCGGCTCTCCGCGACTCCGCAGGCCGGTCTTCGGGGCCGGGACGACCACCCTTCGCCAGGCGGGCGCGGCGCGGCGCAAGGAGCGGCCGCCACCGAACGAAGGACGCAACGAAGCGCCCAGGCGGAAGTCCAAGCGTCGACAGATGGCCTGGCGCCTCAAGACCAAGGCGTGTGGAGTGTGGCCGTCGCGGAAGGGGACACGTCGCGACACGAAAGGGGAAGAAAGGAGGGGGCAGAAGCCCAAGCCTGTTCCGAGAACAGGGTCGCCACACGGACCACGACTTATACGATAGTGATCATGATCTTATAAGTCATCATTGGATAATTATTGGAAGTGCTAGATGTGAAAGGAGTCATGGAGCCTCAAACGGTTGGATGTGCATATAATGACAATGGATTCAATGGATGCTCTCCCTTTGCTGCTCTCCCTTGGTATGATAGTTCCTAGAATGAGCCTCACTTACATGATCTTACATGCCTTGCTTGTGGGATCCCAGACTTGCTGCCTGGTGGCTCCTCTTCCGGCTTTTCGAACCGTTGGACTCTGAAGACCTCCGTGAGTCGGGCGCTGGCTCCGCCAACCGAACCGAACGGCGAGTCGCCGCGGTGCTCCCCACACCTCCCAAGAAGTCTCCCATGAAGTCGGAAGTCGGATGCTTTGAACTCATACCCTGTGCGACCAAGAGACCAAGAGACGAGACCCCGCATGCACAGCAGTCAGGAGGAGTACGAGCGGGATGAGCACAAGAAAGAGCCTGTGCCAAAGAAGTACTTCAACTTCTCTTCGCCGGAGTCCTCAGTGACCAAGGCCAGTGAGCCGATGAATCCAAGGCCGGTCCGGTCGGTCTGGAGCTTGTTTCGACGGTCCGACGGTCGGTTCTGGTCTTTCAGACCCCGAAATCGGAGCATGTTTCCATCGACCCAGTAAGAAGAGCTGGATTTGATAGATCGTATATATTGGGTCTGTCCTATTACCTGTAACAGTCAGTAAACAGTTATCGCTATTTTTGCACAAGGCCTTTACTAACCCAAATCATCCACTGTTACAGGTAATAGGATAGACCCAACGTATATATATATACCTACTGTAGGGTGTAGCCCATTACCAGTAACAGTCGGTAAGAGATGATCACAATTTTGGAGATGAAGGGCAACCTCACGGATAGTCCTCCACTGGTCCCCTGGATGTTGGTCTCGATCTTCCACGAGACACTCTGCGGATTTCCGAGGCTTGAGCAGATGGTGACCTTGGCACCTTACCGGAGCAATTTGTCACGGAGACAGCTCAAGGAGGTACGTGCCACTTGTGGCAGAGTGGCAGCGGCCGCGGGGAAACCGCGCGGGGGTGGCAGATGAGCACACGGTGTGACGTGACATTTCATCAGGTGCAGTCGGAGTCAAGCAATGTTGAGTCGATGGCACTGGGGCCCCAAAGATGTCTTTGAGATGAGGGTGCCAGTGCCATAAATTCAACCACTTGTCAACCACCTCAATTAGTTGGGGCTCCATGCAATGCGGCAATCCACTCTGACACATTCTGAAGCCAGAGTATGTCTTGTGATGGTGCCCCCCACCATGGTTCTGGTTGTTCAACAAGCTCCGCCCCCTGGAAAAAATCGTTCAAGGCGCTCGCCAAAATGGCAGCCCTAGCTTTTGTTCTTTCAAACTTGCAGTTCTTCCCAGCAAGGCTCGCCCCCTTCCAGGAGAAGGAGCGACGCCTGTGCTTCCTCCAGTTCTTGGGCGGGCTCCTGCAGCTGAATCCCGACTTACGTTGGACGCCCAAACAGGCACGGACTCGTGCGCGCGAACCAGGGTGGATTGGAGGGGACAATCCGAGTCGGACTGGGCAAAGTGCAAGGAAGAGCAGTGCAAGGTCAACAGCCTTCAGTTCAAAGGGGTTTCAATGATGCTTGGACTAGAGCAGCGTGGGATTTTGCACAGCAACTTTGTCTTCTTGGTGAAACCATCCATAATGAACCTTACATGTCATAAATAGGGTGGTGCATAGTAATCACCAGGATACTTAGTGGTAGCTCCTCCAGTTCCATGGATGCTGAGCTGGGCATCTGTTGGGTCCCAAAACTGCAGCATGCTCTAAAACTGCTCCAAAACCCTCACAGCGAGGCCTCGGCGCATCCCTTCATCATGGGCAAAGCGCACGACCCGGATTTCCGCGTCTCGGCGTGACGGTCAGCGGCGATCAGCGATGGGGGCGGCGATGGGGTCTGTGCTCGGGGCGCGGTAGTTGGGGTTTGGGCGGCGATGGCGTCTGGTGGGGTTTGAACATGGAAAGTGGACAGGAGAACAAAAAGCAGAGGGGGAACTGAGGGGAACTCCTACCCAGGAGTGAGTGCAAAGTGGATTGGTTCCTTGTCTCAATGCTCCAAGTGGGGGTTTGGACGAAACAGGAAACGCTGTGACTTTCAGACACACAGAAAGAGTTTTGATTCGTGGATTCCATCGACTTTGGAGCCGTTTTTTGGTTTCGATCCTGGCTCTACAGGTCGGTTTGGACCCGGAGTTGGCCATTATAGAATCATACCCAGACACTCCATGTATTATGCCATATATATGCCTACATGGGGGTAGTTTGGGGGGTCAATGTAGCCATTTGTGGCAGTCCCATGGAGTGTCTGGAATACATCAAAACGCTACTCAGGACTCAGGGACACTCAACCTGGACCGGACGGGTTGGCACTGAGGCCCACCTCCTCCAGATCATCCAGTGCCCAACTTCCAGAAGGCCGGAGTCTGATGGGACCGGTCGCAGATGGCGCTCAAACGGTGCGGTGCAGATGGGAGACTGCGAATTTCAGGCTGAGACGTCATAGTTTGAGTTAAGAAAGTTGCTCCAAAGTGCTCCACTTGCTTGAAATGGCTGTTTTGTTTTTTTTTTTTTTTTTTCTGGAGGGGGGATGTATTGAGATGTGCAGTGCTGAGCATCTACAAGTTTCTCATGGAATTGACCTGATCAAAGCAGTAGTAGAGAGTGATGACCCTTTATACAATTGGAAGGTTTGTTTGGTTTGCTTACACTCCCCGAAATCAGGTATGCCGGTGTCGTGGCCTCCAAATCGGGGATGACCCGACACCAGAATCAGGTGGTGAACTTCCATGATTTTTTCAAGGAGTCTACAGTAGTTTTCTGACACTATATGTTCACTGCAAGTTGGCCAAGTGGTATCTATTGCAGATTCACAGGGCCTGCCAAATCATGAAACCAACAGGTATTCCCAGCCATACCTCAATGCCACCAGCAATTTGTGGAAACATAGAGATGACTTCAGTGCTATTTAAGACCCTTGTGAGATCTTTTGAAATTCCACCGGGACATGGGAGCCTGTTCCTTATATGTGCCATAGTCTAGACATGTCTAGACACTTGGTCGGTCTTGGTTGTGCTTGCCGGGTTCAACTGGATGGTCCTTCAAAACCTTCAGATGCAACATTACGACATTACCTGTTAAACTTCCCATGTCCTGACAGGAAAGGTCAATTCTGTGACCGTCCATCACATGGACAACCACTTGCTGATGCACCCTCTGACGATGTTTCTACGAGCCCCTCTGAGGCCAACCCACCCAGTCGGCTTCCAGGCTTCCTTGGAAAAATTGTGGAGTTCGGGCTTCGGGATGATGGTTTGGTGGGTTGGTCGATTTCTCAACTCTAGGGGGGGTCTACTACCCTCCCTGCAACAATCATGGAAGTGGACAACCCCCTCCTCGGTATTCGGCAAAGTGTTTTCCCTTTCGAGGCTGGATCGTCCACGTATCCATGAGTTTCTTCTAAGTCACCCATTAGGATCACTTAGCTCTTGATGGGGCACTAGAAAATGCACCGGATACACAAATCAATCACACACGACAAATAGAGGCTGTTGCTGTCCTTGCAACGCCATTTATATAACCTATATCGTATTTCAGGGTCATCAATCATCGTTGCATTGCAGCGCTCAAGTCAGTCAAGCCACCCCATCCACTTCTTTCATTTTCGTTCATCCTGATGCAATCAAGGATTGCTATGACTCAGGAGGAAAAACACTAAACAACAAATACATCAAATTAACAACATTGTTCAAACAAAAAGCATCAACACAAAATAACATCAATTTGTTTTCCAATAGAAGTCTGCTGCTCAAAACACCAGTCTCACCTTTCAGACCCGTTGCAGAAAACACGAAGCGGGTCAGCGGGTCTGACATTCTTCACCTGAATGGAAATGGAGTGTTTGTGGCCGGTTCTTCTTCACTGGTGGATTCACATGGCTGAAAGTTGATTGGATGCTTTGTGTCACAAGCTGAAGTCAGCCCCCTGGCATGGGGAATATGTGTGCCTGGACCCTCGAAGTATCAAAACATATTAAAAACTTGTATAATCTTGTATACAAGTACCCATTTTTATAGGGTCATGTCGCATGTTCTAGGGTACTTTGGAGGCTCCAAGTGTTTTTTTCTTCGTTCCTGCACAGCGAATCCAAGCCACAGAACGAGCCAGCCGTTTTTGGGGGATCCGAACAAGAAGCCATAGTAGTGATCCTACCTCTTTGGGGTTGATGCGCGAGGTAAAGAACAGGCCATAGCACAACGAGATTGCGAAGTCATGTTCCGAATCAAATGAGCTGAGACCATTTTCTTTTCAGAAATCCCATGAATCAACATGAATCGATGTCTTCTACGTACCTCATGAAGTGCTTCGTCACATTGAGGACGAGACGTGCCGTTGGGAAGCTGAGATAGACTACACCGAGCGGGAGGAGGAGGAGGAGGAGGACGAGGAGGAGGAGGAGGAGGAGGAGGGTGGATGGAACTGTGCTTTTTTGCTCAAAGACCTCGCGCCTGTTCCAATGTCTGCCAGGTCTTCAGCTTCCTTTTGTTCTTGTTCAGAACAATTGGCCCAAAGAACTGCTCATAACATCTCATTACTCCATGTGAGTCTCCATGCTGCTTTGTTTGACCTGTGTGTACATTGGAAGTCCCAAGAACCAGCTTGAGTCCAGAGCAACGACCGTCTTTCAAAAGTCACAGGTCTTTCTAAGTCAAGGTGCAAGCAAGACCAAGGAGGCTCATGAAGGGTACGTTTGGTGCAGAGTGCAGATTCGTGCACATATTGAAGTGGAACAAACACATAGTGAGATGAGGTGCGAAACGCAAGTCTCTCAAAGATGACTCTTCAATATCAAAGAGTTCCGTTTGTGTATATGTGCAAGAGTAGCCAATCTTATGTAATCTTAAGAAGTGCCCTCAATTCTGGCACTGAGGCCACCAGCATCAGTGCTCTGGTTGTCTTGTGAAACTTTGTACGGTCCTTTACTCACCATTTTCCCATCGAACGGACACCCGAACGAACACCCGTCCGGGTTTTGCTCAGACTCCTCCGTCGCGATTTGGAGACCCCATTCGGTGGGGAGGCACGTCGTAGTCTTGCATTCGGATTTGCGAACGTGTCTCCTCTGCCAACATGCTACTCCATGAGTTTAAACCCACCCCGAGACCTGTAGGCCTTGCCTGGTTTTGGCTTAGGCTTAGGCTCGTGTTTTTGAATGTCTTTAGAGGGCGCTAGGCGAGGGCGCTAGGCGAGGGCGCTAGGCGCTTGCGCCCCGCGGAGCGCTCACGCCATTCACGTTCCTAGACCAGGCCGAGGCCCAGCGTGCCGATGCTGCCGAAAGGCAAGCTGGGACCTCCCAGCACCGAGGCACGGTCAGTGAGTGGTGATAGCGGTCCGGGGCGGTCCAGGGCGGAAGAAGTAGACTCCTTGGCTTGGTGAAGGTTTTTTCCAATCTATGTGTCTCCAAGGCATAGGGATCATAGTGACAAAGGGCTCAGGAGTGGCTGAGTTGCTCAAAACGAGGATTTGTGCTCATCGCCTACATGAAGAGATGTACCTTTAGGTTTCACCAAAAAGTTTGGAGCCGATGTCCAAGGTAATGTATGGTACTGTTTAGATTTGCCAACTGATCCTGCGTTTGATGGGCCGGCTGCGCAGAGAACAGACGTCCGGTCCGGGCAGTGCTTCTGTCCTGGATCTACCAGTGCTCTTTTTCGGCTGCCAAAAGCAGCAATTCTGCCGTTGAAACCGCAGGGGTTATCATGAGCAGCTGGCTTTCGCCATCGTTTAGATTGGGGATAGCAGGACGATTGAGTGGAGAACCAGCAAATACTTGACAGCTTAGTGGTATCCCGCCCAAGACCAAGAGACCCGTTTGGGAAGATGATACCCATTTGGGAGTTGTTGTTGCCTCCAATTTTTTGGGCCGGTGAAATAGGCATCCCTCATCAATGGGTCCTTATATTTAGGATCTCCTGGTATGTGTTCAAATCCAAGTTCTTTGTGACAAGCATCTCACCAGTGGCAGGTGTTGCTTGAGTCAAGACTTGCAAGCAAGAATATCTTGACCAGTTCCAATTGACATGGACATGCCAACCCAGGCTCACTTGGAAGATATTTTGGACCTGAAGTTGGAAGATTTTGGGGTTTAGGGCTTAGGGTTTAGGGCTTATCCTGAAGTCTTTTTCAGTGGACCGACCTCTTGACCTCCGCAGGGCGCCAGCTCCGCTCGAGCCTGGGAGGAACAGAATGCCTCAGGCGGCGTGGTGTGGTCGGCGTGCGTGGCGTGTCTGCTGCGCAGCGGTTCCAGTGGTTGGAGTGCCATGGGGATCAACTATTTGGAATTCAGTGCCTTTTGAGTTCATGAAAAAACATTCAACTCAAGCCATGATTCAGCATCATTAAGCCGTTTTTGCATATTCCAAATGTCCAGTCACGTAAGGATACGTAAGGTAAATATACCTTAATCACCCTCAAACCACCCCAGTCCACTGTGCCAGTCATATTATAATTGTTTGGGGATTGTCACAATTGTCCAGCCTGGTGCATGTCAAACCCTTGATAGTCCGTGGGTTTGCATCATGCCTTTGACGGTGGATCAACTTGGCACCTGGGCACAAACTGTCGCTGGTCATCGCTAGATTCTAGCGATGTTCAATTTATGATCCCCAAATGAAGCCAACCAGAAGGAGTTTGCATGGAAACTCTGGAAATCCTAGGACTGGACCCTTTTGTTCGGTCCCCTATAATGCTTGCTCTATCAAGCTCATGTGTTTCAACAATTCGAGGCTGGTAGTGGTCCAGAAGCCTCATCCGTCCAAACCGCCCGGCCACAACCGCTGCCAACCATGGACGCTCGATTTGCGCGGGACAGATGTTCGGTCGCTGCACAGGTTTCGAAAGCGACCAGACGCGCAGCGCGCCGGCGACGACGCGTGAAGGTCCAGGCGCGCGCGAGAAGAGGGGGGAACGGTGGAGCGCAGCACTGGCACGGTGGGGTGGCGCGAAGTGGAGCGGAAGAAGGGAAGAAAGGATGTTTTTTGTGGATGGTTCAGCGGGTCATGAGGAGATGTAAAGCATTTTAAAGCTGTGAGCGAGCTTTTCAAGAAAAACATGAATATGAATGGGATAGGAGGGCGTGGATCCCTGTTGAGTGTACGGGTTTATACGGGTTTCGGTATCCCCTGCGTGCTGGAACAGCTCTTTGGGCCAGGAGACGACGCGAAGACGGTCAGATCCCGGTGAACGTTGAATTTGTTTGATGCGCCGAAGAAGCCTAACCCAGACACTCCATGTATGCCATATATGCCTACATTGACCCCCAAAACCACCCCAACGTGGGCATATATGGCATACATGGAGTGTCTGGGTAATTATACAAGCTATATATGTAGTGCTCATGTTTTTAGATCCTATACAGAGTTGTTTTTGCAGAAGGTGAGGCCATATCCCTACCACCTCCAATTACATCCTTAGAAGGTAGCTAGACCCTTGAACCATCTTAAATCCACCTCAACCACCCATGATGCTCCATCCCTGCGACATATGGAGTGTTGGAGTTCCAACCGACTCACCCAACTAACCGTCGCGAAGTCGTTCGTTTCGCTCGGTGAACAGCGGAGAAGCCCCGAAGCTTGCAGGCGAAGAGACTGGAGGCCGGAGTGGGTGCGTGTGAGCGCACCCAGCGCAGCACTCGGTCAACGACTCCAGCAGTTCCGGTGAACATGTTTTTCCGAGCGAATCATGGCTGCCATGTTCCTGTTATAGGCTGTCCACCGAATGAGAGTCAAAGAACAATCCCACTGATTCTGGAGGGGTCTAGAAATATTGTCCCCCTTTGTTTGGAGCTTCTCCCTCCTCAAAAGATGCCGGTAGTGACCGATTCAGAAGCCTTTTGCAAGCTGTCACCCACCTGTAGAAGCCTTTTGTCCGCTGTCCGCTCATGACCTGCTACCAGTAGCAGCACCTAACAAAAGACGTCGTCTCGCCGCGAGCCAACCGAAACGCAGGCATGAGCCACATCAAGACAGACACCGCTCGGCACTTGAAGATTGTCGTTGTCAAATTTGAGCAGATGGATTGGGGTACTGTCTCATTCTGTCCTGTAATGTAAGATTCCTGTCCTACCTCCGTTCCGGTACGGTGGCTGGGGCACCATGGCAGAGTGGGGTGACTCGGTTCGCCTCTGAGGCGATGCCCGAGTCGGCCTTGAGTGGATTGTGGGGGCAGCTGTGCATGGGAGCGGTCGCCCAGATTCCGAGGGAGTTCGGCGCAAGAGGGAGTGCACCTCTGGATGGTTTGTGTCCCATGTGGAAAAGCAGCCCAGACTGGGGTGGAGGTAGCATGTGATGTTGATTGTTGATTTTGTTTCAGACGCTTCAGTTATTGATGTTTAGACTGTGACTAACAAAAACGGCACAATAGATTTACAGAAACCATCCAACATCATCCATGGAGGTCAATCTGTCCGAACTTTTGGTTCCAAAACCCTTCGATTCGATCGGCACGGATGGGGACCAGTTCAAATTATTGTGTGCATGTATACTTTGAACAGGGAGACCCCCTGGCCCAGGGAGACCCCTTGGCCCATTTGAATACACACCCATGTGATCCCATGTGTTTCTTTTGATGAAGGACGTGGTGAAAGAGTGAAGGACAGGATGCTTGCATGACGTGTTTGTACTGTTTGCTGGGATGACGGATGCTTTGGATCATCAGTGAAGAAGTAGTCACCCATGGTCCCATGATGCTTCGGTGGTAGCTCTAGCCCCTTGAGACTGCTTGAAGGTTGTCGTTTAGTGGATAAAAAACGTATTATTGCAGGAGCACTCAGCACCCCGGGCAGCACCCTGACAAAAAGCTTGATTTTTGCGGGCCATTCCTCCAAAGTATTGCTTCATTTATTGCTTCCTTCGGGTACAGAATGTGCAGATTCCTTCGCAAGGGCCGCCCAGCATTCCAGTGGACGGCTGAGGTATTCCCTTGCCAGATGACAATCCCGTGCCCGTCTCAGAATGAATGAGATGTTCACCAGCTTCAGCGGCTGACGTTTAGACGGTCTCTTCTGCAGATGGAAGGGGAAGCAAAGGAGAGCCACTGAAGACCCTGGGTCCGTCTTGGGGCTGTGAATGGCTTCATCTCAGCAATGCCTTGCCTCAAGGCCTCACCTGTCCTGTTTTTTTGCAGCTTTTGGATGAGGTAGACTGGTGCGATGGCCTCCAGATCCTACTAGCGATGGCCTCCAACATGTTTATCTGGCTTCTGAAGACAAGATCCAAGTGTTCGACTTCTCCCAGGACCTTTGCCTAGCTGCCTGCTTCCTTGAAGTGTTTGCATTTGCGAGCTGGCGTCTCCAGCTTCAGGAGACAGATGCCTCTCCTTCGTCAGACCTCTCCAAACCGACATGAATTTGTCAGAGTCAGACCCCCCAACCGGGTTTGGGATGTTTATACTTCCCATGGATCCACATACCTTCTGAGAAGGTGATTGGAGACTATTTATGTAGACGCCAGGAGGGTCCAAGGACGACTTCTGAGAAGGTGGCAGTGGATCCATAGGGACTTTCATTTTGCCTCACCCTGTGACCGTTTTTTGTTTTAACTCCCTCTTCCAATCTAAACATAGCTCAGCAACTGGCCTCAGATCACTGACCTTTGACCCCCAACCCCCCCTACTCACCTATCGTTCCAAACCCCTGTCTGTTCACCGCAACTCGCTCGAGCGAGCGCAAGCGGCGCAACTCGCTACTCGCTATACTCGCTCGAGCGCAGGCGGAGAGCTACCGTCCCCCCATTGACCAGATGTCCGAGCGCTTCTTTCGCAGCTTCATGCAGGTCCGCGGTCCGAGTCTCGTCGCGTCGGTGACCGGTCGCGACCAGTCGCGAGGTGATGGGGGTGATGGGGTGAAGCTGAAGAGGAATTCGACCGGCGGAAGAAGCCTGTGGTGTTTGCAAAGAGAGGAGTAAGAGATAGTAACCGGTGCTGTTACAGGAATTGAGACCCAACCCAAACAGGGTGTGTTATTTCTTTTGGGGGGGTTCTAGTCTGGGAACAGGGCATAAAGTATGGACCCTGTGAACAGAAGATTTACATTGTCGCGGGTTAGCATGTCGTTTGGACCAGCCAAAGTCACGGAGTCTCGTCCCGTGCCATAACGCCATTTAACTGGCATACTAATGACTCAACTTGATAAATAGAACAAGATCATGAAGTATATCTACCCCTAGCTTTTGCTCAGGAGGGAGCTAAGGAGCCAGGGGCATCCATATTCCCCAGCTCAACAGGGAGCCGAGGAGCTACAAGGAGTTCCCCAACCCCTTACTAGACCCCCAAGACCCTTCAAACCAAAGAGGTCACCCTAACTTCCTGAACATCTATAGTCCCTTCATGTCCCTTCGTCAGTCGTCCGGTCCGTGCAGGTGGCCGGCAGGCGGCCCAGCGAAGTGTCCACGGAGGCGAGTGAGATGGACGCGTCCGTGAGGTCCATTTCCGCCAGTGCTTGACCAAAGAATCATTGATTTAGCACTAGGAAAGACACTATAGGAAACCACCCCTCTGAAGAATCATTGATTGATATTGATTGTGTTGGTGTGTTTATTTTTTTGTTTTTTTACGCATTTTTACGCTACAAAACCAGGTCAACCTGTTTGTGAATGGTTGAACGCAAGGCTAGGGCATGGTCCATAAAGAATCGACATGTGACTGCCAGTAGAAACTCTGTTCTTTTGCAAAACGATAGGGGGCTCATCAATTTGGGCGAGACGAGGCCAATAGTTTCGACCGTGGCTCTTGTCATCCACCAATAGGCGCTTATCCAAACAGCTCATGAAAACCAATCGGCACTTCTCGGATCTTGGGAATTCTTGGGATCTGCGGCACTTGTGTATAGATGAAATGAATATGGCACTTCTCAATGAATGAATCATCCATTTTGTGCGATTTCAGTCACCACCCACGCTCTCTGGTACTCCGTCAGGGTGAGCCCGGCACGGCCAGTCCTCCTAAGGCGCCACAGGGGGGAAAGGGCAAGGGAAGGAGAACTGAATCAGGGCCAGAAAGAGTGAGGGCCAGGTTCTTCAACATGACCTTGTTAGATCTTGGGATGTATCTTCAACATGACCCTTCACTTGAAGTGACCTCAAACTTGAAAAATCCAAGGGCTATTTAGTGGCTATTCCATTCGCGTCCCTGCCATTCGCCTTCACCTCACCCGCCGGCTCCGGCACCGAGGCGGCGGGCACCTCCTTTTGCTCCTCCGCGTCCTCCGCAGGCGCCGAAGGAAAGGACGGACAAAGTGGATCGTCTGCCCCGGACACGAAGAGGAAAAAAGAGGAACCTCATTGAACCTGGATCCAGTCGTACCGAACCCCAGGTAGTGATGTGTTCGACACTCTGATAGTCAGTAGGTTTTCAGGGTCGTGCCGAACCTGAGGTTCGGTACGACTGGATCCCATCCCTAGGGATTGAACCTCTATCTTCCGAAATGACTGGCTGGGGAGTCGTGGGTGTCTCACCTGTTTTTTACTTACATGTTTTCGATAGCGTTTCTGCTGATGTCGAGGGCTTTCTGGAGACCCAAGTTGGCAGCTGCCTCTAGAATTAAGTGGTTTCAATCTACTTACATCTACTTACCGTTATGTCATTTGGCTTCACTGACTGTCCTTTTTCTTCTTTTTGCTTCCACACCTCCATCCAAAACACGCACGGAAGGCAAGCTCCACCTGCCAAATATATATCCCCCCCTCAGGGCCATATACTGACATGGTCCCACTCTTCAGGGTCACCCCTCCCTCTCCCTCCCACTCGTCCCCCCTCCCTCTCCGTTCTCACGCACCAACCGCTGCACCGCGAGGTTCGCCCACCGGGCGACCGGCGGGACCCGGGCCGTCGCCCCTCTTGAAGCCCACCGACCTCCGGCTCATGGGTCTGCGGAGCGCCGGCGCAGGCGGCCGCGGCGGGAGATGTCGGCCGGTGCGGCGGTTTTGGTTTCGGAGATGGAAGAGTTGGGATGAGGCAAATGGAGGGAAAACATCCGAGTGAAAGCAAGATGTTTAGGGTATAGTGTTCCTTGATCGACATCGAATCAGTATCAAGACCTTAGCACAGAAGACCAGACTGAAGGAGATGTCCACATTAGTTGCTACGCAAGCTTGGATATTTCTGGAAGCGTTGGGTTGTTTGGATGTGCTTGGATTTGAAACATGCCAATGATCTAAGTAAAGGAAGATAGGTTTGGTGATAGGTCCAAGTTGTACAAGGCATAGCTTATGGGCATTGATTCACAGTGTCTCCACTGTCTCAATGGTGCGATCTTCAGGAATATTCCCCGGGATTCCCGGGGTAGAACACAGAAAGATGAATTTGCCGTTGTGCTGCTTAGGGAGTGAGGGAAATGCTCCATATACTACCAATTCAAGCAGCTGAAAAACAGGTGATTTTTAAAAATAAAAACACCATATATGTATGATCAACTCATGATGTCCACTTTGCCACCTACCACTCCGTATCAGTCGCCGGTCCAGGTGCGTCGAGCACGCCCGGCGGGAGCAGCACCACCGCACCACGCCCGGGCAGTGGTCCGATGACGAGCAGCATCGACCGGCAAACACCGCAGAGAGGCCGCGGGCGGAAGCTCCGCCGCCGCGGAAGCGCCGGGGGTTGCGGCGGAAGCGAGGGTTGCGGTGCCGGGGCGGCGTTCCGGGGTTTGGTTGGGTGCCGCCTGAGGTGCTTGTCTGGAGGGAGGGAGTGGAGCTGAGCCATGCAAAACGACCGCTTTTTTGGGTGAATGGGGTGGTTTCAGCTGGTGTATACCATCATGTTCTAGTTTGATGAAGTGCTTGGGAGCGAAGAAAGAGAGTGGGAGCGAAGGGTTTGCAGGAGGGTGATGAGGAGGAGGAAGGAGGAGGTTTTCCCATATTTCTTCATCCTTTGGATCTGAAAGAACTGTTGTCCTTTGGTTTCGTGTGAAAAAATGGCGGTGTTCGTGTTGGATGCTTTGGATGCTCCTCTCTTGTGGGCTACACGGCTACCAGACCAGGTTGAACCAGGTTAGCCCCATGCAGAGAGTTGGAAAGAACTAATGGCTGAAGCTTATCACCTCACAGGTCCACGTTGACAAGAACCTTTCACTGCATAAAAATCATTCTGCTAACCAACAATATGTTACACTGTTCATAGCTCGCGAACTGTCCCGACGTCCCATGATCTAGGGTACAAACTGGATGGTTGGCACTCCAACAGAGGTTTGAAGAAGCCTCTAGACATCTATAGACTATTCCAGTTCGGTACCCCAGTTAGTGTCCTAGTTCAGATCACAAAGAAACCTCTTTTGGCTACTACGTACTTCTGTTTGTCATAAATTGATTCATTGGTCTCCATCTCTGAACCAACCCGAAGAACGGTTCCGCTCACTAAGATGGATGGTTCAGAGGTTCAGAGACCGATGGATGAGATGGGATGGGATGGGATGGTTCTTTGGTATATACCCTTCTGCCTCACTAAGCTGGATGCTTTCGGCGCTCCTCGATCGCCAGGCGGCTCGGCGACCCTCGGCCGTGCCTCGCTGAGCCGTGGCGGCTCCCGGGGATCGTCGTCCGGACTCCCGGGGATCGTCGAACCGGTGCATGCGCAGGTTACTTAGCTTCTATGAGGTATACCATGGCTATAAGGATGGTGTCAGGGGTCATCTCTATGCATGTGGGTCCTGGGAAGTCAACTCCAAATATTAGCAAGATGGGTCTGTCCGTTCTTGCCTGGAACAGGACCCGTAAACAAGCAAATCACTACTTTGGGACAAGGCCTACAACCTAACCATACAGGTATTAGGATAGACCCAAGGTATACCATGCTATACCTGATGAATATTGATATAATAAGTGGTTGTAGCTGGATTTATGTGGGAAAGAGTTGAGAGTTGGGGAAGAGTTGAGAGTTCATACACAAGGTCATTTGATATATATAGTTGCGTGCAGATGTGCCCAACACACCACAGAGACATCTTAAGAGCATGATCAACTGGAGTTCTCGATCCAAGCAAAACTTGGGTTTGACTTGCATGAACCGGTCTTCGGTTTAAGGGTTGCGGATCCAAATCTTGCATGTTCCAATATGGTGGGCTACAGGTCTTGTCCAGTGATTCTCGGAGTTTACAGGTCGACCGGTTTCAACAACCACTAATATTGAAGGTTTCTTACAACAACAACAACCATTGTGTGTGTGTTTTAAAGATAAGATATTGTTTTGCTTCAGCAGATTGAACCTTTCTTTTGGGCTTGGAATGCAAGGGGCCCCCCATCGGGCGTTCCAAAGCGGAGGCCATCCGGGAAGACGGGGCGTTCCCTCCACCCCTCCGCCTCCTCCGCGGTCGTCGTGTCGCTCCGCCACGGCGGTATAGGCCGTGGCACTTGCCCTCGCCGATGAGCGAGTTGAGTTTTGCCTCGGTCCTGGTCCTCAGACGGACTTCTTCTGCAGAGGTGGGTCAGAACCCGAACTAGACTATCCTAGTTCAGTACTCCTGTAGGGTCCTAGTTCAGGTCACTTAACCTCTGAGTAGGTGATTCTGGAAAGTGGAGAGGAGGTCCATCCCCCAGACCAGACGGATGGGACTGGAATAACTTACTACACGTTACACTTAGTCACAGCATCGCCCGGTTCTTCGGACAGACTGGGCGGATAGGATGGGAAAGAGAGCGGACACGAGCATGAGTTGAAGTTCGTTTCACTTAAACATGATTAAACAAAACAAACTGCATGGGGCAAAGTGTGTGTGTGTACCTAATTCGAAAAGGGTGCAATGAGATTGCTTCGATCTGCCTGCATGGGGCAGAAAAAAGTTGAACAGAAGCCCGAGAGGGGCTGAAACAGACATCGTTTGGACAGGTCTAAAACGACCTTGATAACGGACTTTACAGAACGCCCACACCTGTCGCGGTCAACAAAACAAAAGGAACCCTAAACCTTTTACTATCATCATCCACTGTTACTGGTAATAGCGTAGACCCTCTGAACATCCCTATTTGGAGGGTGCTGGATGGAGCGATTGGGAACGAACATCTGCTGCATGGCGAACTCGTTGCAGCAATGATCCCCATCTTTGTATCTTCCTGGAGTCGAGCTGGTCATATGAGCTGTCGGAAAGTGAGTGCAAGTACCTTTTTTTTGGGTGGGTTCATGTCCCATGTTTGTCCATGTTCTGAGGTACTTTGGAGGGTCCAGGATGTCGCAAATATTTCCTCCATCATGCAAAAATAGCCAAAGTGAGCCGATCCACTGATCTCTGGAGCAGTGCACTGACTGGCCACAACAAAGCACATCTTCTCTCACTGCAATAAAATGCATGGAAGTGGCCTAGAGGTTTTCAGGGGCGTTTCTTGGGGAGATGATAACATGCTGCACTGGCAATCGCAACCCCGGTTCGACGGCCCAAACCGAACATCACGCTCACTATACTATTGGGCCTCATAGAATGTGCTAAGAAGAGTACATGCCCCAAACCAGGGTAGGCTTACCTCCTTAGTCCATTCTGTTTACTTTCTGTATTGGCACCGCTACCCCGGTGCCATGCCATGACCCACGATGTCCTGAGTGTTTGTAGGTCGTTGTAGGTGAAACAGCATGCCTATGTTGGATATACTCATTTGGAGCTTACTGATCAGCACCCATGTTTCTCGACTGGATCTTTGGCTCTCAGACCAGACCCCGCTAGACCCCGCTCTTCCCACCCGGATCGCCTCGCCTCCATCGCCGATCGCCTCGCCTCGATCGCCGATCGCCTGCCCCTTCGTCTCCATCTCCACCACAGGAGCGGGTGAACAGTTCCCAACCCTCGGGCAGTGACAGCTGCGAAGAACCACGACATTTGGGGTCTGGGCAGCCAGGGCGCAGGGCACAGAGCGGCGCTCGGCGGTCGGTCGAGAGCGGCCGTTTCGAAGGGAGCGAAGGGTTTCGAGATCACCGGTATAACCAGCAGCATTGGGAGTCATCCAGTATCCATTGCGAATGGTACATGTGCATCCTGATGATAGCATGATTGCAGTCTTGTCTATCTTGGCTTGAAGTCTTGCTTTTGTTACGTTGAATTGGAAGGGCAGGGTGCGATTCTGTCCAAAAAAGGTCTTAGATCTCGAAGGATTCGGATAGGGTTTTTTTGGATGTTTTTGGAGGGTCGCCGCCTTCGACACCGCTTCCATGGAGCAGCTCAAAGCAGTCTTGGCGTTCTGACAAGACCCTCGCAAAGACCGAGGCCCCCTTGATAATTTGACCCTACAGTCACCGCAAAGAGTTTGTTGGTTATTTTTCAGGAAGGGTTGCTTTGGGGAGGGCCTTTTCAGATGTTCCAAGATGTTGCTTTTGTTTGTGGGCAGTCTGCAGTGGTGCAAATGGAGACTCGGACTGGGGAGACCAACCCAAGAATCCATCTGGAGCTGCAGAATCCCACGGCTCCTGGATCACCATTACCATGCAGCTCCTGGATTCGGGAGCCCCAAACCAGGACAGGTTGACCATGTCAGGTAGTCCATTCTGTTCATTCTTGGGGGTCAATCGGGTTGCCCGGGTTTTGACCCACCTATTTTCCCAAGCAGCGGTTCCTCAAGCAAGTCCGTTTGAACTCTCGTGTGACTCGCCGTCATGCCCTGGCCATGCCTAAACCCTACACTCCCTGGTAGCATGGTGGAAGTGCATGGCATGGCCATGCATGGCCTCTCAGATGATGGAATCCTCTCCCAACATGGTGGTATTCACTCCGCATCACCTGATGAATTCCAGTGAAGAAATTATATACCTATAGCACTTCCAACGGGTGCCCTGGCTGGAGACCTGTAAGGCTTGGGTAGTCTATTGGACACCCAGACAGGATGATCCTGGTATATAACATGAAGTAGTTGGGCGTTCCAAAGACCCATCCGTTGCTCGGAGGTCCTGCCAGCAGGCAGTTCGACCATTCGATTCGGAAGCACGAGGCCTCACCTCAGACCCAGCACTCTCCAGTGTGTTCTCCTCTCCGCTCCGGGTCCAGATCTCGATCCCTCTTCAGTCGTCCGTCTTCGCCGGGTCGAGGTCGCCTCCGTCCTCGTCGCCTCCGTCCTCGTCGTCTCCGTCGACGTCGTCTCCGTCTCGACGCGGAGAGCGCGCGCGGCGTGGAAGGTCCGAGATGGCCTTCAACTTCGAAGACCCTTCCGGCATCTCCAGCGACGCTCATGGGCCATCGGACCCTTGGTGGAGATGGATGGAGCTGGAGGAAAAAACCAGGACGAAAGAACATGAAATAGCCGTATAACCCATGTTTAAATATGTTTAACTTGTTGTTTTCTTTGTGGGTGGCGGGGGGAAAACATTGGAGATACCGGCATACGGCATACCTCACTATAAGTTAGTATAGTATATAATCCCATGGAGTGTTTGGGAATGGAATGGCACCTTTCTTTGGGGGTTTGTTGTAGGATGTTGAGTGGTATGTGAGTGAGCTAACGGTGAACATGGGTAGACAAGTCCAATCCTACACACGACCCGAGCCCGCCCGCAACATTTCTCTCCAAGACATGGGGGTTGCCATGCCTTTTCGAGAAGTAATGTTCAATTAGGCACCTCAAACAAAACTGAGGAGCTGGTCGGGGAAGTTCGAACATTTGGAAGATGTTTGTCTTACATTCATCCAAATAGATCGGACAGTGCGGGTATCAATGTATCAACGGGGTATTTGCATGCGTCTCTTCTTTCTTTCTTTCTTTCTTTATTTATGTCTTTCTTTCTTTTTTCCTTTCTTTCTGTTCTTTGTTTCTTTCTTTCTTTCTTTCTATATGTCGTTCTTTCTTTCTTTCTTTCTTTGCAGTCTTGCAGTCTTCACAAGTAAACCAAATTCAGCAGAAGCGACAGTCGACCCAATGCTTGATGTACTATGGGATCCTACGAGATCCGGGATTCTGGCCTTTGAAGCTATACCTATGGGAGTCCTATGGGACAATGGGGTTGGAAAATGTCCAATCCAGGTGACCATCTGGGGACTGTGTTTCATTAATGTTCATTCAACTCTTGTGTCAACTGACCATGAGGCGTCTGGTGAGTTTCAATGTAGGCTCAACCCTTAAGTTGAAAGACATGCCGGCAGAAGCTGTCAAGAGCTTCAAGTTTTGTATTTCAGCCTCCTGTTAACAATGTACGTGTCATCAGCTCGGCAGCTGAAGCACATCCGACCCATAACTTTCTCATTCAGTTTGACCCCATCAAAAAGCTGAAAGTCCCCAAGTCTTCCGAACCACCTCCCATTTCTCCCAGACTACTCGGGACCTTTGCCCTGAAATCGCTAGGCCGCTAGGCTTTTCTTTTACTTGGTTTTGTTTGTTTTCGCACCAACAGCAGCACCTGCTGCCCCCCCAAAAAACACTCACCGAGCTCTCGTCTCTGACTCGTCTCGACTTGTCTTGGAACTCCTCCAGCCCCTCGACTCGACGACGAAGAGCTTTCGAGGACTGTGGAAGTCCTTGGATCCCCGAAAGTTCCGCCTCGGGAGCACGGGAGCAGAAGGACGTGCAGAGCGCCATGTGGGAGAGCCTCAAGTGCGCCGCTCTGCCCTGCTTTGCCCTGCCCACCCGCTCCTCCATTGGCGCGAAGATTTGCCTGGTAGGAGGGCGGTTTCGGAAAATGTGTCAGTTTCCCCTAACTGAGTGACGAGTGAATCCACATGAATCCCCTGGCTTAATACGTTTTGATTGTTTTCCGGTACCTGAAGCAATTCCTGTCAGTGCTTCTTGCCGCGCAAACATCGGCAGCGTGCTGCGAATCCACGGGAGGACGTGCTTTGGGTTTTTGTGAAGCTGTTTGTAGTGGCAGAGACTCAGTATCACATGTGAAGCGGCTTCCGCGCCACAGGCCCTAGCCGTTGTTTTTGTTTTTTGTGGTGGCCTGCGTCAAGATATGGCAAGAGCTTGGGTTTGTCCCTTTAATTACCTGTAACAGTCGGTAAACTTATCACTACAGTTTAGACAAAGGCATACAAAGGCCTTTACTAAACATCATCATTCACTCTAAACTTTTACTGGCAACAATAGGATATACCGTGATATACCCAAGCAAGAGCCTTCATCCATTCACTGCTGCCGCAGCGGCTCCAAAGATTGAATCCTTGGTTGCTTGGAAGCTCGAGAACCAGTTCGGGTTCCGGAGCTTTTCTGGAAATCAACAAGACGACTAAATCCTTCCCATTCAACCCATACTTTCGCACCCCTAGGGATCCACTGCCACCTTCTCAGGTTCAGTTCAACTGGACCGTCTAATGATATAAATGCATTCTAAAGCCAAGTTTCCCTCAAAATCAAGGAGGCAGGGCCAGGCAGGGCCACAGGCTAAACAACAAGTATCCAATCATTTTCGAAGGTATGTGGATCCATAGCCAAACCATCCATGCACGGAATAGTTACTTAATATCTTAATGTGACGTACATGTCCACCATGAAAATTTAATGTATAGTATATTATGATGCATTATCTGTCACTATTTAATCCAATGGATGGTATGGGATATAGGACTTTGTTTCTTGCTACTGCTAGGTACGAGATGACACGCGTCGAGCTGGGGCGCGACCGTTTACCTCGACGACTTGAGATGCAAAGCCCCGGGAGCACCGGTGCGGGGCCCGGCCTTTTGCACATACTTGCACCAACGAACAATAAATAAAGGCATCGAAACGGACGTCCTCCCACGTTCGGGGCCAACAAGTGGAGTCTTTCGGCAGCCAGGCGGTGGATATTTCTCCGCCCACAATCTGTGAAGTGGAAGAGTATCATGCATTCTATTTGTAATCCACAGTGTATCTCCTCTATCATCCTCTATAGGCTGTCTGACCTACCGCAGCTTTAATGCTGTTTCACGATGAACCATTCTTTTACTAAGGACTTTAGACTACAAAACCAAGTGATTGTTTTATTTTTGTATAATGAGCTTGGAAGGGCTTGGAAGGTTAGGGTCTCAATGTTTGGGATCCGTTTCTTGGTCAACGCTCCGGAATCACAGGAATCGGATTGCTTCGACTGATCCCTCCATAGGTTCGAGAAAAACAACTTTTCCATCTCTCCCATTTCCATGTGTTTGGGTGTCTGGGAAATTTGGTGTGTTGTTGTTGAATTGCTTCTTCTTCCCCATGTCTCCCCTCAAAAAGACACGGAAAACGAAGATCAAAGCACCTCCGGGAGCCGCGCGGACGAACGCCACTCAGGTGCCTTGGGCACCTTCCGAGAGGCCATCGGCATGAACGACAACGGTCCGGTGATTCCGCAGCTCGGTGGGCCGAAGAGTCCGCGTTGGTCGGTGGGGTTGGGGAAGGAGGGGCGGATGGACACACGGGAGGGATGATGCCAGGGCACACATAGTGGCTGGCTGGGGTGGTGAAATGGACATCCCTTCACCTCTAAGGCTAGACACTTGGGACCCAAAATCGGCGATCCAGTGGTGATTTGGGTGATTTGGAGCGGCAGCTAGTAGGCACTCTGCAAAAATTCGGACTTCAATGCCCAGTTAAGACAATTATTAGAGGTCATCCAACAAGTGTTGCATGGCAGATTTGGACACCCGTGCGCCGTGCGCATAAAACCATGACAGCGATCTTGCGCTTGATGCCGGCTGAAAAGCTTCGAACCCCCAGCCTGGTTGATGTCACATCTCCAGCCTGGTTCGTCGCTCACCTTGATGCGTCCTGGAACCCGCAATGGCTAACACCTGCAATGGATTCTTTGCGTTGTTTGCTGCTCCATTGTTGCACGATGCTCAGACCCAGCATGGTCTTCATGCCCAGCGCCGCCCCACGCGTGTGGTCACAGCTCTTAGGATCAGTGCGGCTCGGCACCAGCAGACCTTGGGCACTGGCACCGCGGAGGAGACCACGCCGGCGACCCAGGGATGGTCTTAAGGTCAAGCCGCAGCCGGTGCAGCAGCTGTTTTCAGCTGTTTCTTTGTGTCCCGATTTCTGAATAGTTTTGAATGTTCCCATTGGGGTCTCCAGCTCGGCTAATTTGGAGTCTTGTTTGTTGTCCATATTTAATGTGTTGTTCAAGTTTCATCAAACTTTCTCAATTCATGAATACCACCTGCATGGGTCATATCCCCACCAGTCACCTCATAGATGTCATAGATAGTGTGGTCAGGCAGAAATCCTGCACCACTGTGATACCGTACCTGATAAACGTGATTATGCATTTTCTATAGTTATGATGCATTAAAGCTCGTTCTGATGACACAGCAAAGCATTTAAAAAATAAACCAGGCAAAGGACATGCAACACCAATAGGTGGTGGTGGTGGTGGTGGTGGTGGTGGTGGTTGAGCATGTGTTTCTTCCATCAACCCGCCCCCGGCCGAGGTCCTCGACGGGCCTTTTCTCCATCTCCCGATCGGTGCGGAACAGCGGATGGGTGGAGGAGAGAACTATCCCAAACTCATTGTTCTACAGGTCCAGCCTCACCCAGGTCCAGTTGACCCGGGTCCTGAACACCGAAACTTGAGTAGTGTTTTTGTATGACCAGCTCCAGTAAAACAAGGTCTTTGACCTCCTTTTTTTTGGTTCTATGTTTACATGAAACATGCCAGGAGCATCTTTCTAATGGGTGTTTAGTGGAGGTCCATGAGTAGTGCGCTGGGCCGCCCTGGGCCGGGCGTATAGGGTGTCACATAACTTTTTAGAGGATACTTCAACCCTTCAAGCCTAAAGCTTTGAGTGTCTCCAATCACCTTCTCAAAGGTATGTGGCCCAGGCCGGGCCATAAGATGCCAGGATCATCCAATGACGTTTGGAAGGGGAAGTCGTGGGCTCGGTAGTCTATTGGTGACCTTCAACATGTACTTGGACACACTTTGTTCAGCTGCCAAAACATGATCTTGTCTTGAGGAGCTCTTCCAGACAGATCCAATTCAATTGCACGCGTGCCATTCCAAAGATTTTCTCTATTTTGCACTGCACTGCACTCCTAAGTCTCAACAGGTGCAGTGTTTGGGGAAGGACAACTGACACATCATTTGCAAATATCTACTAAACCCCAAACCTCCTGTCCCATCCGAGGTTCGGTGATATTCGACCCGGCACCCCCACCCCTGGCCCATCTTCAAAGCGGAGGTGATCGTTCTTTGCTTCGGCCCCATTCGGTGGGTGGCAGCTTGCCTCCGTGCCGACCTTCGGGTCGGACCTTCGGACCGCCGGACCCGTCCGTGGAGTGACCGTTTGTGGAATCGAATACAAGTCTTAAGGGGTCTGTCGAAGACAAGTCAGGGGTCAGTCGGATCAATCTTCTTCCCAGTCCGCTCCTCGTGTCATCTCTTTCACCTCCACGCGTAAAGAGACCTCCATCCAGACACCTCGACCGTCTGGCGTCCGGCCTCTCGTCACACTCCGTCGTCTGGCATCTCGCACCGGAGAAACCGAGAGAAGCCGAGACGAGAAGCCTCGGCTCCGCTCCGTTCGCGGCTCCAGGTCGATGGACATATGGGCTTCGGATTTCCAGGTCGCGCGTTGTTTTCGATGCCGGAGGGGGGGCAGGGTGGGATGTCGCTGACATCAAGAGACCGAATCAACACATGTTTTTTTGGACCCCATGGCGGGTGGATTGAAGGGGCATACCGTGTCTCACTCAAGAGATCCAAACCAACATACCTTAGGTCCTTCAGGCCTCCTGGTTAAAGTTGGGATGTCATCTGCTAGGTCCATCCCCTTTCTCACTTCAGGGTTCGAACCAGACGAGGCCTGACTTAGGGCCTTGGTTGATGAATACACGGGATACTCGCAATTCTACAACCAATGGAACCTGGCACTGACCATCACTGACCCCTCTATTCCCACAAGGACGTCATTGGTTCGAACAAGACGTCTTCGACATCTGGGTGACAACACCCGAAGCAAGTGACCTTTATCAAAGGGCCATCCAAGTGACTAACTTGAGGGTTTGGGTCACAAACATGTCGCCAAGACATGTTTGTGACCAAAAGTTCATGTTCTAGTGGTGCCCAACTGGTCTGGCTGAAATGCCACACAAACACGCCAATGTCAAAACTGCTGTTTCTTGTTGGGAGCGCTGGGTTAGCACAAGGTTCACAATGAAACTTCAAGATACTTCAAGGTGTTCATGAACCAAAGCACATCTTCAGATGGTCAAAAACTATTACTATATATAAGATTATGTCACCATGGTAAAAATCAAACAAAAGCAATACAAATCTTCCCCATGTTCACCGCCTCAACCCAGATTGAAGTAACTAAATCTTCCCTCACGGGGCCTGAGAGTCCTCTTCAAGCCTCACCCCGATGGATGGAGACGACCACGATGTCGTAGGGCAAAGCATCACCAGCTTCCAAAGACCACGATGATCACGATGTCGAGTAGGGACCAATCGAATGCCTGGTCACCTCCACTCTAGTCCCCCCAGGGCTCCTGTCCCATCTCCTGGGGTTCGGTGGTTAGACCGTTAGACCCCCCTGGCACCCACCCCAACCATCTTCGAAGCGGAGGTGGGCCAGGAGCCCTCGGGGTCATACCATGTCATACCTGATCACCCTTGATTGATCACCCGATCGCTTCTCACCAGCCGCCGCACCAGCCTCTTCTCCCGCACCGACGCACCGACGCTCTCGTCTGCGTCGCCAGGAAGTTCCAGACGCAAATCCAAGCGACCACAATAGGTGAGAGCTGATGCGCATGCGCATGCATCCGTGGTGGGAGGAGCTCGGTAGTGGTGAAGAGCCCATCTTGAGAGGTCTACAGGGTAAAGCATACAATAAGGTTGTATATGGAGCATAGTATGGAGCATCCTTTCTGAGTGTCCTGGCATTGGACCACTCTTTTTACTAGCCCGGTCTTGTATATACCAAAACCACCCCCAGAACATGTCCTTTCCTATCTCAAACACGGGAGGAATGGGTTCGAAAGATGTGTTGAACATGTTTGTGTCACACACCTAGAGCAGTGGTCCTCAACAGGTCCACAAGGGACTCTCAGCCACACATGCTCACTTGAGCCCGGACCAGGGGAGGAGTTCGAACCTGTTCAAAATACTGCTGAAGGCTGACATCAGCATGCAGTTTGAGGTGAAGCGAGATGCCTACAAAGCGGGTCACACCGGTGAGCGGTGAAGTGAAGGTGACTGTTTTTGCCGGGAGAAACCACCTGAAGTAGCACATCTGCTTGAAGTGACGGGCTCACTGTCCCCAAGTTCGCGATATAGCTCAACCCTGAAAGGGGCGAAGATATCTAAGAGACTCATTTTGGACACACCTTTGGGGTGAAATGAATTGAAATGACCTATACCTTCTGACCCCAAAAATATCAAACAAGCAACAGACTCTCCTCTGGTACGGATGTGGCGCCCACATCCGTGCCAGTCTCGCTCATTCGAAGTTTCTGCGAGTTTTTCAGGGGTCACACCTCCTGCATTTGATGGAACCCCCCCCACACGTTATATTGTAACACACATGGGGCTTCCAATTCGCCCAAGATGGATCTGCACCACTCCAAGAATCACTGCTGCACCCCTCGTCGTCCCAACGGTCCGGTGGCGAACGGATCCGGACGGGGCGCGAGCTCGTCCGGCGCTCGTCGGGCGAAAGACCGGCTTCGGACCGACCGGCTCGTTTCAAGTGGCCTGAGAAGGGACTGGGGTGGTTTGGTCCAGTACCTTCTGAAGAAGGATATATCGGAAGCCCTAAACTAAATGGGTCTCCGATTAAGTAGTGTAGTCGTTGTTGGTTGCCCCCGGTGGGTGTTGCAGGTACATTATATTTGCAATATTAGATTCGACATACCCTAAGGGTCCAGGACCATCCTGAGGATGTCCTTTTGCCCCAAAGACCATTCTCAGGAAGCACTTTCACCTCCAAGGCCATCCTCAGGATGGTCTTGGACCCTTAGGGATATAAGTTAAATATAGGCGGCATTTGCTACGTGGAGCCCAACTTGGAAGAACCAATGCCCTGACTCTCCGTTTCTCCGAGTTCGAAGCAATGCCCGACATGTAAAGGATCTCAACCTACGACCCGCGATGGCCTCCAACCGACTAGAGCGGCCGGCCTCCAACCTAATAGTAATGGCCTCTGGATCTCCAGTGCCGGACACAACCATTTGTTTCTGGATGTTTCTGCCTGGGACTGGTTTTCGACTCATGAGAGGGGGGGACTAGCTGCGTCCCTATCCCTATATGTATCGGCCCCCGACCTTCTTTTTCGAAGAGAAAGTTCGGAGTTTGTCGCCCGTATATGTAATATGAAACGTTTTGTTTTTTGATTTTAATGATGATTTAAGGGGGATTGGTGGGCCATCAACCCAAAAATGCATTCTTGAACCAAGACAAACCATGACAAACCCTTCCAGCTTTTTCAACATCACAGCCTGCAGCCTGACCAAGACCTTCGGCTCTGACGTTCGCTCCGACTGGTCGGGCTCGCGACTGGTCGAGGCAATTCGTGAGTCACACGACAAGTGTGTCACACACTTGTCGTGTGTCCGGACGGCTCCTTTTTTTGTGCATTCTAAAGAGCGGGCAGCATTCAGGAAGCAAAAGGTGCGGATGTTCGTTAGATGGCAGGTATTTCAGAACCCGGACCAGGTCCAGTCTGACCTCAGGTTTAACTTGATCCTTTACCTCATTGAGTCGTTTTACCTTTGTAAGTATATGATCAACTCCAGTAAAACGAGGTCAAACTGACCTGTAGGGGAAGGAGTTGGTCCATGTGGGCAGCAGATGGAAGTTGGAGCTTCGGAAGGGGTGAATCAACAGCTTTGAGCGATCCTCCTTTCCGCACGGACGGGAAGGCTTCGCAGGTGATTTTAAGGCTACTGAAACATGCGGGCATCTAAGTAGCTGGCGCAATGGTTATTCTAGCCAATGCACTGCCATCTATGGAATGATGATGAGGAGGATGTTGATGATGATGAGGAAGACGAGGAGGAGGAGGAGGAGGGGGCTTGGTTTGACAAGGTAGACGGCCCACGTAGACCCATCCACCTTAGAGGAGGAGGAAACCCTTTGTTCTGTGGCATTCTGGTCCTCTCCCGACCCTCGTGCCGGGTCTCATCCTCGTCCTGGACTCCTCATCCTTCGGAACCCTTCGGAACCCTTCCGACCCTTGCGTCGCAGGGTCCCGTCCGACCAGCGATGAGACCGAAGGAACCCACAGGGTGTTGTCGTGTGATTCCCTAGGGCTCCTGTCCCATCTCCTCAGGTTCGGTGGTATTCGACCCCCCTTGGCACCCACCCCTGTCCCATCTTCGAAACGGAGGTGGGCCAGGAGCCCTAGGGATTTTCGAATCACTTGGGAGAGTGATTCTCAAAGACCGAGTCGGATGAAGGATGATTTGTCAGACCATGTTGAATATTCATGTTCATTTGCTTTGCCATATGATTTTGTCGGTAGAAGATTCCTGAATATTCCGTATTCCATTCATCGTTGGGATGATGAAGAACTGTGGACCTTGAAAAAGCCACGAAGACCTTGCTGAGTGTAGGCTTCTTGGCCCACCGAAATCATATCTCCTGAACAGAGGACTTCATACACTCCAAAACCAGGTCAACAGAACTCTTTGAATCACCTTGGTTCCGGCTAGACCTTTTGCTTCCTGCTGCGTGAAACCCGATCTTTTGTACTCTTAAAGCAGTTTCGTTTCCCGTTGGGCTGTCGAAGATCTCGTGGCACAGCACCTGGGCCATCCAGCACAGTCTTAGCACCTTAGCTTTGAAAGTCCAGCCGAGAGCGAAGAGCACGTCGTGGTTCTGACAGAGATCCCCGAAGTCGACCCCCAAAAACGGATTTGTGCAAGAAGACTCAACCAACTGGATTTGCATATCAACCCGTTGTATGGCCTCTCACTAAGGCTTAAGTTTCCCCAAAAATCTAGGAACCAAATGAATTGTGCGAGCGTGAGCTATCCTGCGTCCTACCTAGGAGCGTCCTATACCTACTAGCTACCTCTCCCTCACTTAATTAGGTAGGCCCCTACTTAATAAAAAGTAGAGAGGGATGGGGAGCCAGCTTTAAACAAAAATAACAAATCTGCGGGACTCTGGGGAATCTTTGCGCTTTCCACTGCACTCCTGGATGCAGAGTGCGAGCACGTGAAACATTGGATTCTTCCACCGGAACAATCGATATATCCCCAGATAGGATTGCACGGTGAAACCAAGACATTTTCTACGGGATCTACGAACTTCTATCTATCGCATGGGGGCTGTTTTATAAGGTGTTCTGCAGGAGAACTGCTCTTTTCTGATTTGCCGAAGGGATCTTCAGCGGTGTCCTTGGATCGACGAAGACGGCAAGTGCCTTTGGTGTGGTGAAGGACTGGGCTATCCGACCGGAATGCAATGAAGCCAGTCATGTAGGTCCATTGATGCCGGATGGGGCATCAGAACATTGGATTCAGAATCCAGACCTTATCCATCCCTCTCTCATGTGTTGAACTCCTCGGCTCCTGTGATTCCTTTCTGTGCCAACCATGCAGCAGACGTGAGGTGTTTTGAGCGTGGATTTCTCCACACCTATCGCAGTGTGAGTGCCAACGGATAGCGTACTGGACAGACACATCCGGACACCGTCGAAGAAAGACGAGGAAAAAAACACCGGCTGTGTTGGATTGTTTTCGTGGAGAGATTTAATTTGGGCAGCGACTGATGTGATTGTTTAGGGAGGTTTGAAAGCTTTTGGATGAGGAAATTTGTTTAGCAACAGGGGAGAGAAGACATGCATGTGTGTATATATATATACCCGTGGCATCCCGTTGTTTCCAACAACCATTGTTTTAATGGTCTTTACCGAACCACCATTGTTTTACTAAGGATTTTACACTACAACCAGGTCAACCTTTCTTTGAATGGTCTTGGAGGCCGAGGGTATATATATATATATGCATGTATGCATCCCATCACTTATGTACAGGTGATTGGGGTGTTCCATGGTGTTCCCATGTGTTGAGCGATGTGTTTCCATGGTGGTTCTGGCAGATGTTTGTGGAGTGACTGTTTGCGTTGAGCGAATGCCTGTTTTCCTTGAACAGTAGTACTTAGTAATCTTCTTAGTGTTCAGCTGTTAATGCAACCCTTTCCTTTCTAGCTCTCAATTGGTGACGGTCACACATGGCGCCAGTCGGGGACTGTGAGGGAGGACACTGGTAACTGAAGCAGCTGAATTTGTCTTGTGGGAGGGTTTGCTGATCTGTCATACTATTTGCCAATGAGGAAACTGACAGCATCTTGTTCCACCAGCCAGATCTGAGGGAGGCTTGTTTGAGGCGGACTGAGACTGAAACAGACCCATAGTCGATATTCCAAAGCACTCACGTTTTGCAGGCGCTCTTCTCTCAAGCAGTCGTCATATCGAGGAGAATGGCTGAAATCATCCACCCAGAGCGAACATCGAGGACGTTTTTGCAAGACTGGACCTGGGTCCGACTGGACCTGTGAGGTATTTTTTTATCATACTACCCGATAGCAGTAGTCAGAGAACTTGGAATTACTTCATAGTCTTGGGACTTCTAGGGATCATTATGCATGCAATGTGTATAAACCTTAACTCAGTGGATCCTAAGATCACCCAAGGCCGGGTGCCCTTTAGGGCCCCTCGTCTGTGCACGTGGCCACTTGTGGGTAACGAGATCTACGATGAGAATGCCATGGTGGATGCCGCCAGAGGGCAGGCCGACTGTTAGGAAGGTGGTTACGCAAAAGGGAGACCTGGAGAAGCTGGCTATCTAAATACCATATATATATTTATAGGCTTCCAGAATTCCAAGCGCCGTAATTAGTTGGGTTTACAATGTTTTACCTAACAACCATTCTACAAATGATTTTACGCTGCAAA